GTTCTCTGGGATTGACCACTGATGGGAATGGTAGAGTACAAGTTCAAGGTGGTGGTATTTTATCCTCAGACAATCAAGCTCAACAAGGTCACAGCGGAGGTGGAATGCCATCTCATGATGGTGGAAACTCTCATGGGCAAGAACCTGAAAGGCCCACACCATCTGAAAGTAGTGGGCATGGTGGGGGGAATGATCAACCTTTGCAGCAAACATCTGCATCAATGAGCGATGGTGCTCAGAATGCTGTTCGGCGTAATGGTGCCATGGGGTTGGTTGCTTCTGCTGCCATTGCTTTTGATGCTGCAAAGGATATCATGGAGGCTCTTAGGAGTAAGCACACTAATTTGGCTAGCGAACTTGAGGTAATATATGCTGGTACTAGATCTCGATTTACTTGTCTGATCTAGAACGTTTCCTTTTCATTTTTGGATAGTTGCAGTTGTTCTGTATTCATGTAGCCTCCTGGCGTTTCAGCAAGTTTGAATCAAATCTTCCTCGAGGATGTGCCTTGTGTCAGAAAAACCATGGAAGCCATCTGTTTTAACTGCAGTGCTTGTGCTTATGTTTTACTTTCTTATTGGGAATGATTGTGGGCGTGTTTGTTTTAGCTTTTAAAAGTGAGAATGATTTCGGGTGTGTTTGTTTGAGCTTTTAATAAGTCGATGACGTGCTTTTAAGTTGTAGTAATAGGAGATAAAGCGTGTGGTTGGTTTCTAGAAAAAAAGTTGCTTTGATAGATGTGAGATATTTTTGTAAATAGAGAAACATTTGATAGGACTGTAGATGGTTTATCTAATAATAATAAAAAATGACTGGGTAATAAGTTTAAGAATAAAATTTACTTTAAAGGGCAAAGTATGGAAATCAAATATTACTAGTATTTTGGGTGTTGGATTTTAATAATTCGTATACGGTGGATTATTTTGTGCTACTGCCAAATTGATTGATTACATCTACGACTTGCGCCAATTGGTTTTGCAGGTTCTCCTCACAGAGATCGGCTCACGCTTTGTTACTCTTCCTGAGGAGAGGCTGCTTGCAGTGGTTAATGCCTTGCTCCACCGCTGTTACAAGTATCCCACTGCTACTACTGCTGAGGTTCCTCAATCCCTGAAGAAGGAGCTCTCTGGTGTTTGCAGGGCTTGCTTTTCGGCAGATGCTGTGACGAAACATGTTGATTTTGTGAGAGAGTATAAGCAAGACTTCGAACGTGATCTTGATCCAGAAAGTACATCTACTTTCCCTGGAACACTCTCTGAATTGACTGAGAGGCTGAAACACTGGAAAAATGTGCTTCAGAGTAATGTCGAGGATCGTTTTCCTGCTGTCTTGAAGCTGGAGGAAGAAAGTAGGGTCTTGCGTGACTTTCATGTGGTCGATGTGGAGGTGCCTGGACAGTATTTCAGTGATCAGGTATTCTATCTTGCTGATGGGATTGCTAGTCTTCTATGGTTGCCAATTTATTCCTTTTGTTTGTACCTCTCTTTGGTTATATCACGCTTTCCCCCCAACTTTTAAGCAGGAAGTTGCACCAGATCATACAGTTAAGTTGGACAGGGTTGGAGCTGATATACCAATTGTTAGAAGGCATGGCAGCAGTTTCCGTAGGTTGACTCTGATAGGATCAGATGGTAGTCAGCGCCATTTTATTGTCCAGACTTCTCTGACTCCTAATGCAAGGAGTGATGAACGCATGCTGCAACTGTTCCGTGTAATGAACCAGATGTTTGACAAGCACAAAGAATCAAGACGTCGCCACATATCCATTCACACACCAATCATCATTCCTGTTTGGTCCCAGGTAATGTTTCTCTTTCTTCTTTCATGAGTAGAATCTTCTAGTACACATGGACAGGGTCGAGCTGGCTGGCAGTTAATCATAGGGGTTATTGTTTTTGGCACATTGGCTAACAGTCTCAATAAACCCTTAGATAAGGGATTCGGTTATGGTTTGCTAATCGTAAGGATTATTAATACGCATAGGGTCTACACGTCATTCTAATTAAAGTTCAACACAAGTTATCAAATATTGGCCGTGTATAGTATTTTTCAGAATTTATAATTTCAAAGCAAATATAAATAGAACAAATCATTAAATTATCTATATTTTACTTCATGGATCAAATGTGTTGTACTTGAAACATCAAATAAATGGAAAATTATGGAATAGCTCTAGAGCTGCATGGAAACAGAAGTCTTGCACATGGGTATTGTTTGGATTTTTACTAACTATGCTCTTTAGTGGGTTTTTGCCTTGACCAGACACGATAATCTTAGCGGCGAACCGGAAACCAAAGTTAACGTATTGGCCTTTATAAACTGGTTTTCAAGTTTTTACTTTGTTGGCAATTGACCGGTTTGGACGTTTCGTTACCTGCAAAACCGAACCAAGTTGCTCACTCTTAATAGACAATCCAATTAATTTCTGACAATATTTCGTGGTGATGAACAACAGGTACGGATGGTTGAAGATGATGTGATGTACAACACCCTTCTAGAGGTTTATGAAAACCACTGTGCAAGAAACGACCGGGAAGCTGATCTTCCAATCACATATTTCAAGGAGCAACTAAACCAAGCAATCTCTGGCCAAGTTTCTCCTGAAGCTATTGTAGATCTTCGCCTGCAAGCGTACAGTGATATAACAAAGAACTTGGTGACTGACAGCATCTTTTCCCAGTATATGTACAAGACTCTTCCCAGTGGGAACCATATCTGGGCTTTTAAGAAGCAGTTTGCCACTCAGTTGGCTCTGTCGAGTTTCATGTCTTACATGCTGCAAATAGGGGGAAGGTCCCCAAACAAGATATTATTTGCCAAGAACACGGGGAAGATATTCCAGACAGATTTTCACCCAACATATGATGCCAATGGGTTGGTGGAGTTCACTGAGCCTGTACCATTCCGGCTAACGAGAAACATGCAAGCATTTTTCTCTCATTTTGGTGTGGAAGGTCTTATTGTCTCTTCAATGTGTGCTGCTGCACAGGCTTTGGTCTCCCCTAAGGTAAAGAGTTAGTAAACTGTCTGTCACCAGTAGGGGGTTGGTAGCGATTCTTGGATCCACACTGGATCAGACCAAATGGAGATTTGCATTGGATCAGACTGTGCTGAATATAGTTCGATTCGGTTACAGATCCTTCGAAAATAAAGAAAAGAACGCACTAGATCAAATGATACCACGTGGCCTCTCTGTTTGGCTATGGTGCTCATTATTGCGTTGTTTTTTATCCTGGTCCCATGCTTATTTGGTCTGAATCTTGGTCCCGATCATAACATGCACACCCCTAGTAGTCAGTCGTTGACAATAGGATGTTCCCTATTTCACTTATATCTCAGACCTTGACTAACAAGACTTGGTTTTTGTTTAATGCAGCAAAGTCAGCACTTGTGGCACCAGTTAGCTATGTTTTTCCGTGACGAGCTAGTGTCCTGGTCTTGGAGAAGGCCACTCGGGATGCCTATGGCGCCAGCTGCTGGAGGGTCTGGCGCAAACCCTGTCGACTTCAAACTCAAGGTAACAACCAACGTGGACCACGTCATCTCCAGAATCCATGCCATTGCGCCTCAGTTTTTGTCGGAAGAGGTAATGCACATTACTAACTGGAGCTAGATGTTAGTTTTTGTTTAATGAGGCTGTAGTGAAGTCAACAAGGTGCGTTGATACTGAATAATGGTGAGTTATATATTCAGGAGGACAACACGATGGATCCGCCCTATTCAGTGCAGAGGGGAGTGAACGAGTTGGTGGAAGCGGCGCTGATGCCGAGGAACTTGTGCATGATGGATCCAACTTGGCATCCTTGGTTTTAACCTCGCAACGTTAAATTGAACCCTTGTACATCTAGCATATAAGATTAGTTGTGGCCATCGTAAATAAATAGTCTCGGTGTACATTCTTCTTTATGCAACCCAGCTAGTTGTATCGCGGATATTCGTCTTTCAAATGAACCTTGGTATTTGTAAATTTTATGGCCTCTGGTAAATTGCCTGCTCTCTTCCTGGTATTACTGCGTTTGCATTCTAATAGTTCCATCGTCAGGTGTTTGCCTCTGGTTATTTTTGACCAGTAACTTCAGGTGTGGTGTACCGAGTCTAGTGAGTCTCGAGACTGTCTGGCTCGTCATACAGCGTTCTGACGGCGTTGTAACCACTAAGCTATGCCTAGTGTTCAACAACCACCTACTGGTGAATGGTGATTGGGAAGGTGCAAAAGTCTTGTGGTGCAAGGGTATTGGTCGGATGTTTGCTCTTTTAAGTCCTGGGTCACCGATTTAGCATCAGGAATGTTTTCCTGCAGGGCTATTTGAAGGATATATGATGTACATAAAATCATCCTCTTCGTTACTCGATCCAGCCATTGTTTGGTTTTATCATCTTAAGCAGTTTCACGAGCGTAACCATGCTTAGTTTGGAAGTGGAGTTCACCTCATGACACATCTGTTGGTCAATAGGAGTACGTTGTTCACGGGCTAAGATGAGGTGATTAAGAGATCCCTTAGTCACATGACTAAGTCGATCTCAGCCATTTAGCTTCATTCAAATTTAATGGTTGTAATTGATTTCATTTAATGAAAGGTAATGTAGTAATTACAGATTTATTTAATTGTTAATTATTAAATAAAAAAAACTCCCGCTCGATCGTCTTTCCCCGTAGGATTCAGGCGATCGTCATCTCCGGCGTCGGTTGGGTTTCAGGCAGGATTTTCTCCATTTTTATTGTGGCGGCGGCCATCGTCTTATTACACTGGTGGCCATGGGATTTTCATCCCTTCCCCCGTTTGGTTTTTGCGGCCGCTTTTTCCTAGGGGAGGGTGTATCAGAGAGAGAGTGTTTTGTAATGTTTGCTGAACTTTTTTGTAATGTTTGTATAGATTCGGTTTGTATTGTTTGTCATTTTTAGTGACATTTTGTACGGTTAGTATGTTTTGTACTGTTTGTCGGTTTATTTTGTAATGTTTGTACGCTTTGTTATTTTGTAATGTTTGTTGTTTTTTTTGTAATATTTGTAAACTTTGTTATTTTTATGCACCATGTTAATCATTTTTGTCAACCATGTTTGTAATGTTTTTTATGTCTAAAAAACAACCTGGTTGACTTTTTGATGGACCTCCTCTATATAGGGATGAAGCCTCCAAAGTCAACCCGGGTGTTTTTTCCAGTTTGTATGAATTGTCGGTCTAGTTTGTCATTTTTGTCCACCATGTTCGTAATGTTTGTTTGTCTAAAAAACAATCGGGTTGACTTTGAGACGGAGCCCTCTATATAGGGATGAACAAGGTTCTAAAAGGCGCTAGGCGTAAGCCAGGCGCTCGGCTCCTGACTTGCGCCTTACCTGATTAGGCGTAGCCTAGGCGCGCCTAGGCGTTCAGAGCATAAATGGAAAATTTTCTCAAATATTTCATGTTTTCTGGAATAATTCATATAATCCAAGTGCATATAAAATTAGCAATGCCTAGTTCTTAACAGTAAACACTTAACATAACAAATAACAAGCAAATAGTCAATAAGTTCATAGGAAAATGTTCATTCTTCATCATCCAAGTAGGTCCGTCCAGCCACCACTTCATCTTCATCATCCTCAAAAGCAATCTCCTCACCATCCTCCTCCACTTCCTCCTCTTCATACACTAATTCTTCATCATGGAACTCTCTCACTCGTGCACTCTTGCGAAGCTCACTCTGTTCACCCGCCATTGCATCTGTAACAGTACTCGAGGGTGCACAATATGATTCCTCATCCTCATATCCGAATACATACATAGCATGGTCATCCCCTTCCCGTGTTTCTGATTTTCTAGGGCAAGATGCAATTTTCTGATTTTCTAGGACAAAACGAAAAGTATCGGGTTTAACCGCCTAAGCTCGCCCAGGAACGCCCATGCACGCCTTCTCTCCACTAGGCGCAAACTAAGCGCTATTCCTAACTACTAAGCGCTATCAGCGCGTTTTACAATGCCTGTGGCCAAGTAAAGGCGATCCTCCACCGCCTAGCGCCTAATTGAGCCTAGGCGTGCGCCTAGGCGCGCCTTCTTGAACCCTGGGGATGAAGCCTCCAAAGTCAACCCGGGTGTTTTTCCAGTTTGTATGAATTTTTGGTCTAATTTGTCATTTTTGTCCACCATGTTTGTATGTCTAAAAAACACCCGGGTTGACTTTGTGCAGGAGCCCCTCTATATAGGCATGGAGCCTCCAAAGTCAACCCGGTTGTTTTTTCTTTTTGTATGGTTTGTATTGTTTGTCGGTCTAGTTTATATTGTTTGTACAGTTCATACGTTTGTAATGTTTGTAAATCTGTTTGTATGTTTTGTCGCTCTAGTTTGTACTGTTCGTATGTTTGTATGGTTTGTACTGATTGTAAATCGGCTTTGTATACTTCGTAATTTTTCATAATACCCAAACTACCCCTGTCATTAATTAAATAGCCCTTCCCACTTTTTAACCATTGGATTGAAGTGTCGAGATCTAATGGCTAGGAGGGGCTTAGTCAAGTGACTAAGGACCCTTGGGATCCGCTCTCCGTTGTTCACCAGTCGGTTGATGAGAACTTGAGTTACTATTAGAATTCACCTCATGACACATCTGTTAGAATATGATTTATCCCAAGTGCATACAAACTAGCAGTTGCATGTACATGTATACTTTTTTTTTTTTTTTTGGTATTTACGTTCTCCATAAAAGCATTGATCACAAGTGAAGATTAAAGTTTGATATTTAGTGGACTTTGGTGTACAAAGAGTCTTCCAAGTAATGAATGTGGTCAAGATTGTACTAGTCATAGGCCCGACCAGTTGATCGGATTCAGTTGCAATTACGTACCCAAAAGTAGGAATTTGTATGTGAGATACATATTTTTTGTAGTATAATGAAAGTTGAATTATACAAATACTCGAAACATTCAAATTCATTGGTAGAATAAGAGAATCAAGATTATTAAAATACTTCAACAATTCAAAAGGATCAACATCACAATGTTCTTCGACATTTTAATAACTCATTGACTAAAATCCTTTAATGAAAATGAAACAAAACCCTATGCAAGGGAAACGAGTCCTACAAACATTTTCAAATCACCCTGAGCAACATCATCATCTCCACAAATAACGTCTTCATATTCATTAGTGATACATTTATATACATTATCAATTGTTTCTTCCTTCTTCTTTTGCATTTCAATACTATGCGGATAATGTTTCTTCAATGTTTAAAACCACCTATTTAAGCGTTTGAGCGGATCAAGCAAATTGCTTGAAGTTTAATAGTCGGATCGGGGGGTCCAATGTTTATCCATATTATAAAAACATACACAAATATATAGTAATAATTTGAGATTTTAATAACCTAAGTGTAATTTGATAAGCACATAAACTAATTTAGCAATTAATATATTATCTGATACTAAAAACTGCCTATATATGCTTCATTTCTCTTAATAGGGTTTGGAGGAGAGTCAGAAATCGATCAATATATTCTTTCTTCCATGCTTGTTGCGATTGGAGTTGCTCTTTTTTTTTTACTCGCCGCACAATTGTTATTCTCTTGGTACTACAGAAGATGATGTCCAGAGTTTTTTTTTTTTTTTGTGAGAACATTTAATTTATTCTTTATACGGGTATGCGAATTCATACCTATTCTTTTTATATTTAAATGAGTATAAATAATCATAGCAACTGCGGAAGAAATACTTGTTATATTTGATACCATAAAATTTTCAAATTATTTCATTATTGTAACTATCATTACTCGTACAATCTTCAATATTGCTAATGACCCAATTTGTTGAATAAATTCCATACAAAAAATTAAAAACAAATCACGTGAGGACATCGACTCCTAAAAATTTAATAAGACAACACCTGCTCACTTTCAAGAATTAATACAAATTTCAATTGGCTTATGATAGCTCCACCATCTAAAGCTCTATTATCCCACCAATTACAATGCGTTCGTCTTCCTTAATGAAACTTTTAACTTCACAATAGGCTCTTCCTTCCTTTTTATTATTTTTCATTTCATTGGAAGTCAATATTTAATAGTAAAATGTCTGGAAATATTAAACATTTTTTTATAAAGGAATTGTTGAGAGCGGAAATACTAAACATCACATGCAAAAGAATTTACATCGTTCGAGTCAATAACATTTCATGAGATTTTTATTCCCATAACACTGATAAAAAACCCAACAACCAACACAAAATTTGATAATATGTAGATTGAAAACTTAATGATAACTCGTAGGAATGCTGATAATCTATAGATTGAAAACTTAATGGTAACCGGTAGGAGTGTTGATTAACGATCAACTTTTGGGTTTGGCCAAATTAGTAAAGTGTAGGATTAGTTTGGGCCACGATGTTAGATACCAAAAGGTCAGACAAATTTTTATTATATATTTGCATACTTTATTGCTTACTTTGTAAAGATGGCTTCGGGAATTTTAGTGTTCGAAGAAGAGAATTATTGACCCTTCAATGAATGTCATTTTCAATCTGTGATGGTTCTTACATTATTTGGGTTAATATATTTGTCTAACCCGAAATTTTTCTATATTTAACATATTGACCAATAATTTTGATATTTAACATCGTGATCCGAACAACCCTACACTTTACTAATTTGGTCAAACTCGAGAGTTGACCATTAGTTTTGGCAGTCAAGGTCGTTGACTAACGGTCAACTCGCCAAGTCATTGCCAGTCAGCATAAATAAACTTAAAAAGTTCTTAATTCCCATAATTCCCAAAAATCATTATAATTAAAATAAAAATTAAATAAAAAAAATGTATAAAATTGAGAAACGTAATTAAATTAGAAATTAGAGTACTCCAACACTGGAGAAAGGGATAAAAAATATAAAACAAAAATTTCAAAAATCGGGAATCAGGGATTATGTTACTCAATTTATGTTTTTCCAATTTTTTTTTAAAAATTAATTGAAATATAATAGTTTTTATGAATATTTGGAATTTAGGAATTTTTTATGTTTATTTATGCTTACTAGGCAGTGACGGGGCGGGTTGACCGTCAATCAACGGCCTTGACCGTCAAAACTAACTATCAACTTTCGGGTTTGGCCAAATTAGTAAAGTGTAGGGTTAATTAAGGCCACGATGTTAAATATCAAAAGGCCAGAAAAATATATTAACCCTTTAATTTTGTAAATCATGAATTAAGTGGGAATATCATGTTAGTTATAGTTTGTCTTTAGGCAGAATGAGAGCTTGGTCAAAGTCTAGTAAGTAAGGTAAGACCTACTTTCATGACAATCAAATGAATAATTGACGGGGGAGTTAGCGTGGTTACTTAATTTTTAGTAATCACGGTGGCTACCTTAATCTAAACCGTTCATTGTTTCTTTTTTATTCTATTTTAAATTAACGATGAAGATTATATTAGGGTAATTTTGGAAATAAAAAATATATCACACCTGATTACTCTATAAATTATATCAAACCCTAATCCTAACTTTATTGTAACCCGCTGCCTACCTCCACACTCCCTCCCCCACTACTTCCCGCCGTCCGCCCTCCCTCCCAAAATCCCCTCCCTCCCGAGTAGGGATGGCAATGGGGCGGGTTTGCTTAAACCATCCCCATACCCATCTTCAAATACCCAAACTCATACCCGCCCCATACCCATGCGGGGGAATGTTTTGCAAACCCATCTCCATACCCGTGGGTTTCGGGTACCCATGGGTAATACCCATACCCGTACATTCAACATTATTATACCTAAAACTTACAAGAAAAGTTCTAATTATAACTCTAAACGAACATATTATATCATGAAGTCAACAAAACACGGTCATTTTTTTAATATGGTTCAAAGATTATGATCCTAAAATATCCATTAATACATAATATAAAGTATAATATTTTTCAAATTATTATGTTCTAACTCTGATACATCTACTAAATAATAATTAACTAACATAATCTTGTTGACAAGGGGAAAGTGAAAGAGTGAAATGAGAATTGAGAGAAATGAATTAGATTTTGATTAAGGTGGTCACTCAATTGCATTGGGTTCCGGACATGGATCGCCCGTCAAGGTCGTGGTCAGAAATGAGAACCCGATAAGAGAGATCAAATACAGTTTGCCGGAGAGCGTTCAGCTTTGCTTCTGCAGGTAATCTGGAATGGTAGTGTTTGCATCGGTAGAGGATTTGCTTTGGTAGCTACCTTGCATTTTATTATGGTACTGTTTGCATTATGCTTTGGTGGTTACCTGCATTTTCTTTGGTAGTGTGTATAGGTGTCAATCGGGCAGGTTCGGGCGGGTTCGGGCTGGGTTCAATCGGGTTCAGGCTCAAACGGGTTGCGGGTTAGTCGGGTTGCGGGTTCATCGGGTTCGGGTTCAAACGGGTTGCGGGTTAGTCGGGTTGCGGGTTCATCGGGTTCGGGTTCAATCGGGTTGCGGGCAAATCGGGTTGCGGGTTCATCGGGTTTTGGGTCGGGCGGGTTGCGGGCGGGTCGGGTTTCGGGTTGTTCGGGCCAGCGCATCAAGTAACTTAACTCATTGCTCATTACTCATTACCAACTTACACATTTTATTACACTAATTTAAAACATTTTCTCAACTTTTTAACCAATTTATTTCGACCTCGTATATATACACTTTATTTTTTTGAAAAAATTAGTCAAAATTTTAAATCAATTTGTATGACTTGCAAACTTGTTATGTAATTAATCATAATTGGTAAAGTATTATAGCTAATAGTAATGGTGATATCAATATTTGCAACCAAAAGACATCGTTAATTGTTTATTTGATATTTTAATATTAATTCAGTAGTAATTGAATTAAAGTATCTCGTTTAGTATAACCATGCAAATCTGGTATTTGGCGTGTGGTAATTGGCAAAAGCATAGTGATAAAAGGAGTTATTTCAAAATAACTCATTGCCCAAATAACTTCAGTAAACTGTTGCCAAACGAGTTATTTGTAAAATTGTTCGAATTATCCTAAAAATTGAACCATTAAAGATTAGCTATGAAATTTAGTAAAATTATTGTGATTTCAATCATAACTTACTCAATAGCATATATCCTATACACTTAGCCTTACCCTCAATCAACAATATTAAGTTAATATATGTTGTTGATTGTATACCCTAAACCATCAATACATTATACACTAACCACATAACCTATACCCTAACCATATGTCCTTGAGTTGTGATTTTGCTAGTATAGTTAATTTAAAAGTGAAATTCATACTTTGATTTTGCAAAACATAGATAAAAAGTGATATTTGCTAATTGTTATGCCCTAACCATATATCCTATACTTTACACCACATACCTTGTACCCTAACCACGTACCATAAACATAAATTAAAAAGGGATCTCCTGCCGTTAAAGACTTCAAATTACTTCAAGTGAACATATGTTAATAAAAAACTTAGAACCGTCAAAACCATCAATATCTTATACCCTAACCATATACACCATAAACCATATGTACCTTATACCTTATACCCTAACCATATACTTTATATCCTAAACAACGAACCGTCAAAGATTGCTTATCAAGTTTAGTATAAATTGTTGTAACTAATGGTTAATTCATTTATTAGCCCATAAACAATTACATACATATATACATATTAGCCTTCAAAGCATATAAGAATAATTTTAACTAGTCATGCCCTCCATATAAAAGTTAAAGATTCATATTTCAAAAGCTAAAATTATGAAAAACCAAAAAATTGAAAACACCAAATTTGTTTCCTTCTTTTTTTTCACAAAAATACTAAAATTCCCCTCCTTCTTTCTCCTTCCATACATTAGAAAAACTCAATTTTCCCTCCTCTTTCTCTTCCATAAAATTGAAAGAACCAAATTACCCTCTTCTTTCCTTCTACCAAAAGTTGAAAAGTCAAAAGTTTCCCTCTTTATTTCTCTTTCATAATCAAAAGAGTCAAACTTTCCCACTTCTTTCTCTTCCCACATATCAAAACCACCAAAATTCCCACTTGTTTCTTTTCTAAAAAAATTCAAAGAACCAAATTTCCCTCTTCTTTCTCTTCCCAAAAACTTGAATACACCAAAATTTCCCTCTTCTTTTAAAAACATCAAATTACCAAATACATTACTTTACTTTATTTATATTTAATTGATAATTTTATTGAATAGTTAAATTAACCAAAATTTTAATTTATACATTATATTAATATTGTCATGATCTCAAGTGACCTTCATGTTTCAATTTTGGTAATTTTCTTAAAATACGTAAAATCAAGTGAGTTTCATATTTTTTAAATTTCTTATACGAAATGAAAAAATATTTTTACTTAAGTTTAGAATGAAAAACTTTATTTTGAAAAACTATGTATTTTATATTTTTATAATTATTCAAGTGGATTAGATGAAATTCGGGTTGAGTCGGTCGGGTTACGGGTTAGTCGGGTTCGGGTCAATCGGGTTCGAGTTAATCGGGTTGCGGGTCAATCGGGTTCGGGTTAATCGGGTTGCGGGTCAGTCGGGTTGCGGGTTAGTTGGGTTGCGGGTCGGGCGGGTTACGGGTTGTTGACTTTTAGTCAATTCGGGTTGCGGGTCAGGTTGATCGGGCGGGTTAATCGGGTCGGGCTATGTTTTGACACCTATAGTAGTGTGTGCATTACGCTTTGGTAGTTACCTGCATTTTGTGTTGGTTAGATGGAGCATTATGTTTTTTGGTAGTTATCTGCATTTGTTTTGGTAGTGTTTGCATTATGCTTCGGTAGTTTGTCTGAATTTGTTTTGGTAGTGTTTGTATTGATTTATTTATGCAATGGTATTGTTTTGATTCCACAGTAGTAGTGGTATTTGTTTGACTTTTGTAATGGTATAGATTATTTATATTGGTAGTTTTCGTGTAATTGTATAGATTTATTTCTGCAATGGTATTGATGTTTATCAAAATGGTAGTGGTTTTCTAATGGATTGGTAGTGATTTCATGTTTTTTCTTTTGCAGAAAGATTGAGAAAAATATGGAAAGGAGATCTGGATGGAGATTATGGAAGTGAGAGAAAGAGAAAGAATTGTAATTAATAGATTTTAGTAACTACCTAAAATGTAATTTATTAAAATTAATTAATATAATTTATTTTTCTATACCCAATTTACCCTTAGTAACCACGGTGATTACTATAAAAAACTAATCACCGTAACCGCTCCCGTTAGAAACACCACATAGATTGGCTATTTCTATAGAAGAATTGTTAGTTTATGAATGCTATCATATATGATGCTATAGGATGCTTGACTAACATTTTTTTTTCATTCGAAAATATGCCAAAATAGATATAACTTTATAGAGTATAATTAATTTAATTTTTATTCAAATTTTTTAATTTAAGTTAGAATAGATGAATATGATTACCTAAAAAGTTAAAAGGAGTAAATATGGTTATGTTTTTTTATTTTTCACAGGAGATCCGATTTAAACTTGATATATGAGTTCTTTGTCTGCGAGGACTCTCAAGTTTCCACCTCCTTTCAGTTATATGTTTTCGGTGGTTTGCTGGAAATAGGTAGAGAAAATAATTTTCTTTATTTAATTGACTCCTTGTCTCTTTCCATTAATAAGTTCCCTCTTTATTTAATTGGGTTTAGCAAAAAGACGGAGAGGTCCTTCCGAACAATGCGCACAACGCAGGAAAATCAGAATGCGGTGGGTTTGCTTGGAGAACCTCCTTATATATTTGGGAGGAAGGACTATGCGCACAATGCAGGAAAATCGGAATGAGGTGGTTTGCTTGGAGAACCTCCTTATATATTTGGGAGGATTTTCGGCATTAGTCAAGGTGATTACCACTCCTTCTCTAGCATGCTCCCCATTCACAGTGAGTATGCGCTTTCTTCCTTGTCATCCTTTCCATATGGGGTTGGCTCTCTCATTACCATGGTTAAAAAAGACATGGTTAACCTTACGCTTAGGCACGCCTAGGCGCAAGGTAATGGCAAAACGTCTCGCCTAGAGGTTTCGCGCCTAATTAGATATTGGAAACGAATGAAGTAAGGTGACATAAGTGTCTCTCCGAACCATTACTAGATGGAGCTAGAAAATCAATATTAAGGAGAAAATTAACATAAACTATGAAATCAAATTTCTATATCAATATTTCAATATCTCAAGAACTTTGTGAGCTATTGAGCTATGATTATATGAATTCGTGAGCTATGTTGTTGTAATTAAGTTTCGAGTAAGTTATTAATTATTTTAACTAAAGTGAGGAAGTGTTGGAGATTATTACTTCATTCATCATGTAGTGCGAATAGCTATTTTTCTTCCAACGCCTAGGCACGCTTAGTCTACGCCTAGACGAGCTAGGCGCTAGGCAAAGGCTCAATGCCCGACTTACGCCTAGCGTCTTTTTGAATCTCATTACTAATCATGGTTGGGAAGGATTCTTCGATCTCTGAGTACCTCATTCTTCTGCTTTCTGTCCACTAGTTGTTCGGCAGTTCTACCATAATCTTCGTTTGACAAGACCCGGTCCCTCTCGTCTAGGTTCCAGGTCACTTTTCAGATCCTAACAACTTGCTACCATCCTCCATCTTAGTGTACACGTCAAATCTTCAGCTCTATGATTTTGACTATGAGACAAAGCTTCAATAGCTGACTCGCGGGATCATCGACATATCTGCTCTATTGACCATCATAAAGTACTCTACTGACACATCACCAGGTTCTTTCCTCCTCGCACTACTCATCTCTTCACCATTGAACACATTGATCCATTCATTATGGTCAATGTTGTTCGAGGACGAAAATGTTAATATTGTCTCCTTTACGTGTCTTCACATGGCCAAGATCACTCCACGCGAAGGCTTCTGGGACACTACTTTTCCCTATGCCACCCTTATGACCCAGTTTCTTACAAATAGTGGGTGCAATCTTGATGACTACTCTGTTGAGCATATGACGATTCTATATTCTCTTCCCTAGATTTTTTCCATCTCAAATACCTACCTCCATCTTAGGGTTCTTAGCCACCAAGGTGGAGAATGAGGATGAAGTTACCTTATTTGTTACCTTCGGGACAAGTTGACATATAGGGGGAGGCTTGTTGTGTTCACGGGGAGTACGAGTCATGTTAAGTCTCTTATGTTGCGTTCGCTGTTTTACTTTTGACTTTGATGTGTTCTTCTTGTGATATGTATCTTTTAATGATATGGTTCTTTTGATATAACAATATGGTCTTTCTTTGCTTTCCTACTTTAAATTTAATCTTGATTTTTTAGCATCTCTTGTGATTAGGGCTGGGAAACGGTGTGGTCTGGTCATATATACGGTCTATGGTATAGACCGAGAGGCTGAAATATAGACCACAGACTATACGGTCTGGTTCGGTCTGGTATGGTCTAGATAGACCACACTCAACGAAAAATGAATAATTTGTTTAGTCAACCACACAAAAATTTAACCAATAACCAAGAAAAAAAATTTGTTATTTGCCTTAAAACATTTATCCTAACATGCATGAATGATTTTGATACCCTAAATCTCAGTACATAACAAAGATACAAAGTAAAAGCATCCCAACTTGCACCATAACGTCATAAACATTAACATAATGTCATATGAAGACACGATTATCTCTACTCTCTGGTAAATGTGGTTGTGAATGAAGGAGGGACGAGATTCACAAAACTAAGGTTGAGACTTGGGTGTCGTTGTGGGAGTTGGGAGAGTGGTCGAATGGGTTGTTAACACGTATTGACAAGTTGGGTGGATCCATGGTTTGGTCTGGTAAACTACTGTCCAGACCAGACCAGACCAAGAGATCAAAACATAAAATAATACAGCCATGGACCAGACCATACTTAACGGTCTACGGTCCGGACCAAACTGTGAGGTAAGGTTTGGACCACGATTTTTCTAACGGCCTGGTCTATTCTCCCAGCCCTACTTGTGATGGTTGATATCCCTTGAGAAATTAATTGTTGTCCAAAGAAAAGTAGGGGGAGATTGTTGGAAAAATGAAAGGCTTTCCCTTTCTACTCCTATCTATCAAAAGGTAACAACCTAGGTTAAAAAATCTCTATGATTTATCTTAATTGCCATAGCTGTGAAAGTATGATAGCAGGATCTCCTAAATCTAAGAAAGATCGAAAGAAGAATCTCCCAAATCAAGAGAAGACCGTCGCATTAAGAAACTATAAATAGAAGAAAGCAACAAGACAAGTCTCACAGAATGTGGCAGATCAACCCTACACATAGCAAGATCAAACACTGTGTGATTAGTATTAAGTGTCAGAAGTGATAGAGGTTCACTGTCTGCATTAGTTGAGTGATTGTGAGGTTGTATAATTTCTCATTTTGGCGTGAGTGCTTGCGAGGAAGAGATTATCACTCTATTTTTGTTAAGGGTCTAAGTTCCCCTCGAAGGAACTCAACTTGGAGTTAGATTGGAATAAGGTAAAAAGTTAGACAGTCGGTCTCAAAGGGTAAGCCACCTTTGAATCGAGACGTAAAACCATAGGTAAAACTCGATTAACAAAACATTCTGTATAGTGTCTCTATCTACTATTCTTTATTGCTTTTGCTTCTCAACATGAACATTACATTGAAGGTTGAAGGCGAATCAATAAGGGCCACAACCCATCCCGTATTATACTCGAGCTCTAGCAACGAGTCAAGCTCAACACTCTAGTCTAGAAGGCCAATTCTTTATTACTCATATTTCTTTATATTATTTATAAGATTATTTGTGTGCAAGTGTTCTACAATACCACTCTTCAACTATGCACCGCCGGCGCCAAGGCTGGGGAAATGATGTTACCGGAAGACTTGAGCTACATACCATTTCTATTTCCTTCCTCCAGACCACAGAAAGCCATACTAACATCTATATCCTTCTTCCATAAATACATTGAGTTCATTGGGTTGATCAATTGAGTTATACTACCTAACTACATTGCATTAGCTAGTCGTTAGTGACACTATAGACCCAGCAGCAAACAAGGCTTCTGTCATGAGTTTCAATTCAGTAATAAACCAATGATGATATTTATATCTACAGGATCTACTTTCTCCCAACATAAGCAGCCAGTTTTGACAAATCTGGAATCCAAAACGATAGCTCTGAAGACCCAGTTGCAAACATAAGTGTTCCAGGAGCCCATTTGATGACGTGGGGTTCTGTTTCGTAAGTCATCCAACTCGCTACCTGCAAACCAAGGCAAAGGATTATGCTATGGCAAAGACACAGTATTGCGAGCATGCGCTCCTCTAACCATCTGAGATGCAATAATGCATGCCAGAAACAGCCAGGTCTCCATTTCCCCTACTTGTAGAAACATCGATTTTATGCATAGACATGCCCTTTCGACTAAAGAACAACTCCACACTCATTTCTACCAACAGCTACCCTCCATTGGCACAGCGCATTTAATCTTGGAAAAAGAAAAGAACGTTAAATCTGTTACCTCCTTCCCAGACCTTACGCTCCAAGCATGTACACTTCCATCACCTGAGCCTATTCAACAAAGTGAACAGAGGAAAGAGATAATAAGAAGGTTTCAATCCAAATGGAAAGAAAATATGAGAATGCTCCAGGTGAAGCAGTTTACCTGATATAACATGCATTCCATCGGGGCTGAAAGATGCTTCCAATGTGGAATCTCTTGAAACTGGCTTTACATTGTACGTGGATAGCTAATGAAAAAAGTGACGGTAGATGCACTTCAGCATCATTGCTCATAAGGGCTCCAAAGTTCATGCTACTGAGAGACAAACTTACCAATGTTCCACGGAATGAATCGAGGACATGTATATTCCCATCCATGGTTGTGAGAAGCATGAGTCTGCCGTCATTGCTGAACTTAATAGCATTTGCATTCGAAGTATCTCCGCCAACAGAATAGATTTCAAAAGGACCCTAAATGGTAAGTTTAAACCTCAGCAATAGGGATCCGTTAAGACTTGTCAGAGTTACTACCAAATATGTTATGGAACAGAAACGGTGCAGAGCTTACCTTTTCATATTTACGAGAATCAAACATTCTGATGAATCCTCCAAAGGCAATGGCAAAAACAAGTCCCTGATCATCATATGCTGCTGCAGGTCGTCCTTGAACCCGCAAAAGGCCCTGGGTGAAGAGAAGGAATTCAGCTTAGGGTGTGTTAATTGTCCCAATTGCATGTTATTTTTTTTTCTTGTTATCAAGTAAGGTAGAAACAAATTGTTTCGTTTATTGATTAGTGGAGAAATTTGTTTTAAAAGAGTGAAGAAAGACATGCAAGAACCACTATTTCAGAGTGCACCTTGTTTATTACTTTGTATCTTATGTATTAAAGATAAGCATCATTCTGATATAGTAAACAATTACTGCATGTGCAATTTCAAATACACCCACATATATCGAAGTGTGAATGCGAAACCAAATATTTGCTCAACTCCATGTCATTGCAGATATCCAATTATCCAGCAAATAACCTGTCAGAGGTTCATATCGCAAATTGAAGCATGATTTTGCAAGCTCAGCGACAATAAACAAAGATATCAGTCAAACCTGACACTTTTCAGCTCGTTGATCCCAAAGCAACACAGTTCTATCCAGGGAACCTGATATAAAACACTCTTTCCGAGAACAGAAACTTAGTGACACAACCCTGCAAGATAAGAAACAAGCATATAGGATCATCCAGTACCCATTGACGCAAAGAATTCAAGGAAGTTAGCACAGCAAACCTGTCATGATGACCTTTAAAGTATCGCAAATACTTGTTATCGTTCAGTGAGAGGAGCCGAAGAGATTCTGGAACAACGAGTTTGCAAGTGTATAAGAGCACATAAAGAACCATAAACAGAACAGTGACAAGTAAACCAGATCAACACCATATCTATCCAAACATACCATCCCATCCATTTTTCGAGGAGTATATAACGGTTGTAGGATGAGAAGTGAAGGAAACCAGATCAACACCATACTTCTTGCTATTAATTGTCTTCAGACATCTGAAAACCACGAAAGAATCATCTTGAAGTTCAGAAGTACATGGAAATTAAGCTCCAGTAATCTAAATCAATATCAAGGAGGGCCAGAGCTCACGTTGCACTCGCAACATCATAGAGGCGAATGGATTCGTCGTCGCTAGCAGTCACCAAGTAGCTCGACGGCTTATGGAAGTCCATGGAACTGATTCTTCCGCTCTGACGCGAAAACAGAAGGAATCAGAATGAAAAAAAACCCTAAACTTGAAAAAAAAAAAATCATTTAGCAAGGACGCCACATATAATATAACTGAGTCGGAAGAATTACATAGTCTCTGAAGACCATGCCGATTTCCATACTCTTGAGGATCTCTTCCGTCAGCTCCAATGATACTTTCTCATCTCCTCTCTCCGATTGCGCCCCTTCAATCATAAGTTCGAGTTCCACACAAAGGGAAGCCGGAAGTTTCAGAAACCGACCGGCAAACAATTCCATCTAGAACTTCTAAATCAGGGAAGAAAAAATCGTAAATACCTATCATGCTCATACTCAGAAAGACGTCGCTTCGCCAGAGCGCGGAGCGAAATAAAGGTCTTCAACCGCCGCGGAAAACCGGGGCAGACGGCGAAGCCGGCGAATGAAAAGCTGAAGATTTACTGAGAGAGCCGAACGAGGTCAATTTAATTGGGCTTTAATTAGGAAACGAGATGTGGGTATAGATTTTTAACCGGGAAGATCCAAATTTCAACTTTGGCTGCATTCTTCTATCTATCTATAAAAACATTTACCCAGTTTCATAGGAATTTTTTACAGAAATACATCTAAGAATAAAAATACTTTCGAAAATCTTATCCATTTCTGAAAAATTCCAAAAATACCATCATTTCTCAAAAACCACCATCTGAGTGCGCGGTTTTCACTGAAAACCACATGGGTGGAGGCGATTTTGGTGACCCCATGGGGTCGGGGCGGTTTGGTCAAAAACCGCTGCCCCACTCAGCGGTTTGTCCATTTTTTTTTCTCGATCAACTCTAACCTAGGTGAAAACTTTAAACAAACATATCTTTGTGCTCGGTAATCCCATCTTAGCGATTTTTTTTTTATTCCGTATAACTTTTCGAGATCTAGCAAGCCGCGGTCCCGCCTTCGTCCAAAAAAAAACGTTGTTTGCTACTCCGAACGAGCTTTTTTCGATTTCGCCAAACTTTGGACGGTTATAACTTTGTGCTCCGCACTCCAAACGTCATGAATTTTTTTTTATTTCGCATAACTTTTGAAAGACTACAACTTTTAGCAGGAAGGAATTTTAAAAACAGGAACTAGTTTTGGATATACGAGATTTTGGGAATAACATTACTTTCACTTTTCATAAATCCACGTACATTTCGAAATTTTGGAATTTTTCGTAAATGGGTTTTTCAATTTTATTTTTTCTTTTTAGTGCTATTTCTGGAAAAAGTCATTTCATGAGGAAGAGGGCTATTGGGGGTCAGCATCGGTACTTGGGATTGTCATTTTTTATTTGGCGGTCAAGTGTAACATTCCAAATTTCCAACCTTTTTTCTTACTAAAATTGTGTCCGTCTTAGGTTTAGATCATCATAGTTTTTGCCTGAAGTGCATACCAAAGTGACTTTTTCAATTGTCACGCATCTTTGCGTTTCTAGAACGTTTAACTTTGGAGTTTTTACTAGAACTCTTTCATTTCACCCAAAAACGTGTCTTATTAGTTAATGTCGGTTTCTAACTTATAAATCATGGATATATCATGTGCTTTGTCGATATGAGATTTATCTAAAGTGTTACATACCCCTTGTAACGCCCTAATCTGCCCGAACACTCTTTTTACCAAAATGCTCATGATAAACCGTGAACCAAAGTAAGAAGGAAATGACTTGAAAAAATTGTGAAAATACTTTAAATTCAAATGACAATTCCTTGAATAATTTGAAAACCATAAATACTCTTAATAAACTCGCATCAAGTCTCAAGTCCTACGTCCAAAGATCGCAACATCTCTCCCCCAGATCACGCCCGCAATCTTCCCTCATCCATCTATGAACTTGCATGTCATCCCAAAACTATATAAGTAGGGGATTCCTTCACTTGAGTAGAGTGGTTTTGGCAGATTTCTTATTCTAAAGTGAGGTTAGAGAGAGAATTAGAATCTTGGAGAAGAGGAGGAGGAGGAGAAGTGGAGGAGAGCTTTAGAGGAGGATTTCTAGCCCTTGAAGACTCTTTCTTCTTGATTTCTTCCCCTCTTTGCATGTTTCTTCTTCCCCCCTTCATGGAGTAATCCCTCAAGGCACTTTGGGGATTTGACCCCCAAATCCTAACCTAGAGTTTGATATATAATTATAGGATGTTTTAAGCTAGATTTGTGAATGATTATCAACCTATTTGTCTATGTCTACTTGATGATTATCTTTCTTGCATCAAGTAGTGTGGGATTGTCTGTATCGCAGTTTCCCTCGTTGCAACTTATATGGTAGATTTGAGCGCCTTGGTTTGTTAGGAGTAGATGAATGATCTAGGAGTCTAGTATGATGGACGAGGCAACTGTACCCTTGCCTATTAGACGTCCACCTAGGAAATGCTAGGACGTCTAGTGCGTGACTATCGACTCGAAAGTCTAGTGTGCGAATGGTTAGAACACATTTAGAGGAGATAGGTTTTATCCCTACAACGTGAAGCTAGCTGAGGTGACATTGGGCTAGTGGATCGGCGTAGGAGTGGGATTGGTTGCATGACCATTGAGACAATCCCTAGATTAGAGATCTCCGCACCTCGATCGCCATAAGTCGTCCTTATATCTTTTTGCATGTCATCTCCTATAGTTAGAGCGAGGGAGGCACTCTAAGCACCTCTTCTCCTCTAACGATCTTTAGTTCAGAATCGACAACTGCCCACCTTCTAAGTAAATGGTCGACCAGATAACAACTGAGCCTAAGTAGCCTAGTATACTGTAACCCTTGGAATGAGACCTCAGTCATCACTATACTACTTTGCTGATCTAGGGTGCACTTGTCCTAGATTGGAGTAGTTAGTATTGTCGACAATCGAGCTTACAAATGTAAAACTCGATGTGTGACCGCCTCAGCTATCACTTCTTGCAACAATAGCACAACCAATATAGAATGAGTTGAACGGACGGTCAGATATAGCATAAAATAATTTGACAAACTTGAGATAGGAATGAACCTTAGACTTGAAGCTAGAAGTTGAGAATTCTCACAACATTCAATCTCAAACAACACATTCCTATTAAATTTGCATAATTGATAGAGTATCATAATTGGCTTCCACATACCTCGTGAACCCACTGATCAGAAAAATCCATTCTCTTCATAATCCCTTATAAGAACCACCACTCCACGCGATCGTAGACTTTCGCCATATCAATAGTGTTCAGTGATACCTGACGCCCTATTCAAATCTTTTTTGACAATTTTTTTTTTGGCAAATTACTATGTACGCCTTATTCAAACTCAAGTGGTATATTTACCCCAATTCTCAAAATTAAGTGGCACCGAAAGTATTTTACCCCAATCCACAACTTGATCCAGAAATCCGATGGAAACAGGTTTCTATCCTGCATAAGCAAAGTCACAATTATGACTATCCAAATCCACCCACCGGGAACGAGATACAGCTCTGGCCCTTCAAAAGCTGCAAATCAATGGCACTCCAATGCAGAACAACGCCCGAGGCCAACCGTAATAATCTCCATACAGACGTTTCCTAACACTCAGGTTGAAGAAAAAGTAGTGGCATACAAGGAAGAATACGAATGGGCCGGTGAACAAAACAGGTCTCAACTCCCAAACACAAAACGAGTTAGTTGGGAACCTCAAAACATTCCCACATTTGCTAAAAGCGCTACCAATTTTGAGGTGGGTTCGTTGGAAAACATTCTCTTCACATCATCCCTGTCTTGCTAGCTGTTCCACCTAAGCTTTACATCAATTATGGGCCAGGAGCACACCAATCATGGAGAACATCGAAATAATGCAGTTCACTGACCCCCCATTTGCAAGGATAAAGTCAATTAATTCATAATCTGATGATAGGAAGAGCACATATGTCCCCATATCCAGGATCTGGAAATATAATCTGCCATCGACACTAGATGTCAAAGCTACAAATTGGTTGCTTCCATGACTGGAGGAAATAATTTTAATAATACATTCAAAAAATCAGGCAAAGAAAACAACATATAGAGTGGGGGAGAGCCAAATTATATGTACAGTCAATTTGAACTGCAGCACAAGAAACTATGAAACCATTTATGCAACGATAAAAACATATATAAGCTAAAGCCACGAGGGTTTTGGAAATTTCAATGGAACCCCCTTGAACCTCTAGATTGGTAAAGTTCCAATCTGCTCTTGGCTTCTGGAAGCACAGGATCCAGTATTTCGTTCTGGGTAATGAAAGCTTGCTTGCAAGCCCATTCCAAGACAGTCAAAACCTCCGCCTTTGCAAGCTCCTCGCTATCTGGAACATGGAAAGCAATGTAGCAAAGAAGAACCAAAGCTGAAATCTGAACAACTTGTTCACCAAAATAGACAAGCTGGATCAAATGCTTTGCCCCTCCAGCACTAATGATCGCCTTTGCATGGTCAAGGTGGAGATAATTGTCTGAACTGGCAAACTTAGCGAGAGCAACCGATGCCTCCCTTGAAACTTCAGCTTCCCTCTCATCTAGAAGCTTAACTAATGGGGTGATCATCCTGGTCTCTGTAGCTCTAAACGTTCTTGCTAAATTGCCAATAGCTTTGACACAAGGAATTAGCAGCTCGGTATCCCCTTGCTCAATGATCCTCAGAATTTGATCCACAACAGCTTTGCAAGCAGGAGCATTGGGCTTGAATGCTGATCTTCTCAAATCCGAATCCTCTTCAGCTACTGCAGTGAGCTCCATCACTGCCATGGCTGAATTGTACTGAACCTCCCCAGTTCCTTTCTCTAACAGAACTGCAAAACACAAGAGAGCTCTCGACTCCGTTATGCTTCGGCAAATGGGTGAATTCCCCTTAGCAAGCTGCCAAAGTGCTCTTGCTGCCATTGCTTTCATGTGGGCCTTTGTAGCTGCGTCTTCACCTTCCCTCCCTTTAAGATTGACAGCAGAGAGTGAGTTGGTATGTTGATGGTGAGTAGCCGGCTTCACGGCAGCAGCAACAGCAGCAGGAGGGGTACTACTGTTTCCATTCCCGTTGGCCACTGCAGCATTCCCATTAGGGAGCTTGGCGACTGCATTCATGGCCATTGTGTTTGCAATTACACTATGGAACTGGCTCCGCGTTCTGTTCCCTAAAGGGTGATTAATCCTGCTTCTATCTTCTTCAACATTCAGTGCAGCAGAGTTCACACTGCCATTAGTGTTGCTACTAGCGACAGCGTTTGAATTGGCGTTGCTAGCGAGCACCAAGGCGTGGATCGAAGTAGCTTTCTGGCTAACAATAGCATACTTACTGTGCTCTTGAACTGTCTCAAATGCGAGATGGCCAACCAACAGACGGATTATATTGTGCTGAGCGAAGAGATCCTGGCATTTGGGATAATGAGCAGCCAGCTCCGAAATAGCCCAAGCCACCACTGCCTGAACCTTCATGGGAGCTTCTTTGAGGATTTTGGCGAAGACCGAGCAAACCCCGGCGTGAACCATGTGTTCGACGCTTTCAGGGTCCCGACCAAGAAGCCCAATTGCTCTTGCCGCATTCTCCTGACCTTCCAATTTCCCGTCTTTGACCAATTTCAGCAGCGGCTGAACCCCACCTTCCTCGATAATCAACTTACCGTACCGATCATTGTCCCGAGCTAGGGAGACGAGGGAAGCGGCGGCGTCAGATCTATCGTCGGGAGACCCAGTGTAGAGGGTGGCAATCTGCTCCCATATAAGGCAGAGGATGGGCTCGTTGGCGGCGATCGGCGGGAGTCCAAGGTACTCGTCGTCTCGGTCGTCGGCGGAGGCGGAAACCCGGAGGAGCCAGGAGACGTCGCCGATGGAGTTCTCAAGCTGAGCGGACATCTTGCGGAAAGCGGCGGCGGGGATAATGGTGAAGACCCGCTTCATGATTCCGTTGGCTCGGCATTTGAGGACTAGAGCGAGGGCCTTCTCGATTACTTGCTCCGTGTCGTCGATTATGCGGCGGGTGGGCCGCTCGTAGAGGTCGGAGCTCGCCCTAGCGGCTTGACGGAGCAAGGCCGCGAGCTTCTCCGTCTTGGACTTCAGCTCGCCGCACTCCTGCTTGAAGGAGCTGGCTTCGTCTGCAGATTTGATGACGTGGTCAGCCAATTGGATTGGCCTGGCCAAGATCTGCTTTACCAAGTCAGCCATGGAAGGAGGAAGGAGAAGGAGAAAACCCAAAGAAAGGAAAGAGATAGAAAACCCAAATAACGAAGCTAGAGTTTAGGAAGATAAAAAGGTGGAAGGCTTGATTGAAGGAGATGATTGAGGGGAAACGGAACAGGGTTGGCAGGGAGAATGAAATGAGCTGGAGACGAGAAAAAGAAACGGGGGAATAATTGTTGGGAGAGGGGGAAATGAAAAGGAAGAGAAGAGAAGATCTTGAGGGCAGATGTGAAATGGTATCAAGAAGTGGAATTTAGGAAGAAGGAATCCTGGAATTTTTGGTTTAATGGCGACGATGCGGGACTAGTCTTTCTCTTCTCCTGGCTCGGGGACGGGGTTTACAAGGTCAAAGACGCGGTTGTTTTCCCCACTTCGGTTTTATTTTATTTCTCCATTTGATTCTTTCTTTATAACCTCTACTCCAAGTCCAAATCCTCCATCCCAAGTCCCATTTTTATACAAGATCAAAAAGTAATCACATGTGGCGGTCGATAAAAGTCGATGTACTTAATTTTATTACTATATGAACATCTCTATTACAATCCTTAAGAATTAAATGACATGAAAAACATAAATTTATTAAAAATTATACAAACTTCCATCTGATTCGCACGGAATTTCCCATAAGGCCTAGCCAATTGCGTGCCAATAATTAAGCTAAAAGAACAAGCATTAAAAAATGCAAACCAAACAACCAAATTGCTTAAAAAACAAAACAAACAAGTCCAACTAGACTTGTCCATTGAGATAGGAAAAAGCCTAGTGAAGGAGCATAGGCCCATGAGGCCAAAATAATTGAAGGGGTCCTTTTGATGGGTTATTTCAATGAGTTATTTTGATCCAAATAACTCATTGTGAATTATTTGAGTAAGAATAACTCGTCTGAATGCAAAATAGAGTGATGAGTTAATCGGGCCCACGTTCTTTGTAAATAACGCAAAAACGTGTTATTCAAAATCACACGGAGGTATCCAGTTATTTCAAAATAACGCATTCTGCGCATTACTCATTCCAACTGTGTCCCTCGTCTCTAACTCGCAACCTATTACACAGTCCTATCGTAAGCCAAGTATAATCATACGACTGGTGTAGTATAGAGCAAGTATATTTTCAATTATCAACCCATTCGGTTCGTCTACCCTTACTTCAATAAACCACAAGTTATCTAGAGATCAGAACGTTGTTTAAAACTATCAAACTAAGTAAACAAAAAAACTCAAATGATGTTGAATTCAAGTAAGAAAACTCCACTCGGATGATTATCTCCAAGTCCCGTCTTGAGATGAGATTGTGATAGTACGATTGGCAAGTTCTATATACCGTTAGGAGATCAAATATACTTAGGATCCCCTATTCGAGTGCATTCTCACTCGCCTAATCGATTTAATCGAAGGGGCATACCACACTACCACAATAGACGACTAGGCAACCAAATCCACTCCCTCGGGCATTGAACTGGAATGATGTAAAGACACCAATCACCCTCGACCATGGATCTCTACAATAATTGAATAGTGACCCAAATTGCCATCGGGAGATCTTCTCTCTCTTAGGTTAATTTATCCCAAAATTGAGGGAACTGATCAAGGACACTTAATTTTCATGATTAATACTCAATCAATATATAATTAATCATGCTCATCATCACATAGAGTTCACAAACATCAATATACAACATCATGGAATAAGGTTTACTTCATCTAAGTGAAAAGATAAACTACTTCATAGCTAGCGAAAGAATAACAACTACAAAAGAGGAAAAGCCCATGGGAACTTGATTTTTCTTCTTCCTAGTTGCTTTTATTGATCCTTGGAGATGAAATCTGGCCTCCACTTGGATTGCGTAGGTCAAATTCACCTTCAATTTTCTCTTGTTTATAGCTTTCTCTCTCTACGCTAAGGAATAAGAAACTCAATCTCATACTAAAACTCTCCTCCGATGAAAATCTGATCCCTCTCCTTTATACAGCCCGACATTGCACGTTTCACGATTGCACGTCACATTAGTGAAGTGTGCAACAAAACATTGATCTCATCACAAAACACACTATTTCATTAACACATTCACGGTCTCTTTGCTTACTTGACGGCCTAGGACCGTGATCCTTGCAATGCCCTCAAGACGACTAAAAAATCATGGAAATTTGCAATCTTCAACGGCCTCCTTGTAATCTTCACAGTCTGCTACGTGTTACAATCTCCTCTAAACCGTGATATGTGCACTTTTGATCGTTATGCTCCATTTTCATTTCGTCTGACTTTCAATCCTTTCACACATTTCACCTGATATGACTTGAAACATAGTAAAATATTCCAAAACCTAGCATAAAATAGCACCAAAGACGATGTAAACAAGTCAAACAACCAAGTAATTGGGGTAAAAACATGTATAGAATGGCTCGAATCAAACTCGCCTACACCTAGTTGTTTGCTTGTCCTCAAGCAAACATTACTCAAACTAGTGAACATGCAAGAAACTCACAATGGTATGCATTATATTTTGTTGGTAGCACCTCAAAGACAATCAAAAGCGAGAAATATTAATTCCATCATTATCTATGTGACAACACAAACTCCTGGATGAGGACTTTGAAGAGTAAAGAGGTCTAGACATTTCACGCATGCACCGGGGGCTCTCAAGAAAACATGAAAAGCAATGGAATTCATGGTGGTGCTCCTACTTTTTCAAAAGATTACTCAAACTTTCGAGCATCAAGTTAACATTGCCCCACATGGCACCAAACTTGCATTTTTTCAAACAAGACTTCTCTCCCTCGGGGCTAAGAAAAAAAGTACGATGCCCTCTCTTTCTCAGTCTCATGTGGGGAAACTTATAGTTGAGGGGATGGAATAGTGAAAAAGGTGAACCGTTGGACGTTAGTCCTCTCTCTCGAGCACTACTTCCCATCATGCACTCCCGTCTCAACAACATACGAGTTGCCACACATGTGAGGTACAAATGAGAGTCGAGGTCTCCCAACTTGCGGAGATGCACACTATCTCCTCGCATAAGGAGAGGTGTAAGGAGGATGGAAGCTAGAAATAGTGATGGTTGGATGCTAGAAAGTAGGGGTGGGAATTCAGTTGCGGTTTTGCGGTTAAACTGCTAACCACACCGAAACCGCACGGTTAGTGGTTAACCGCAAACAAAAAAATAGGGTATTTTATGGTCGCGGTTAGCAATATTGCATGTTTTGCGGTTTTCGGGTTAACCGCAACCGAACAACATGTAATCGTATTTTAACCAATTATTACCGCGGTTACCTGTGGTTAATCGCAGTTAGTGCGGTTAACCGTGACATAGTTAGGGGTGGAAGTTTGGTTTGCGGGTTGCGAGTAACGCGCAAACCGCCCCAAACCGCACACTTTGTGGATACCCATACCCAAAATTTGTGGATAGTGGGTTGGGTGTGGGTGGCAAAATATTAATTTTTGTGGTTAGTGGTTAACCACTATCCACAGCGGTTTACCCACAAACCCCACATTAACCACATTAGTTATATTAGTTTGTGAAATTTGGAAGACTAAGAATTAAGGTATCTACTAAATAAAATACGTACTTATTCTATAAAACAAAACCAAGTCAATACACAATGTTCGTGTGAGATACTTTTATCAAATAAGCATTGTTCGTGTGGTATATGTTTATTTTATAACAAAACCAAGTTCATAGATATAGTCAGATAAATCAATAGATTCGTTTGAAGAGGGGAATAATCAATAAAGGTTAGTTTGATAACAAAACTCGTCTCCATTTCTCCACAAACTCACCAACAACACAACACGCAACTAGCTACCAAGAATACAAGACTATAATCGAGAGTGGAGAATAATCGATTCATTAAAAGCGGGTGCTTTCACTTATTGAGCCACTTTTGTGTTTTGTTGTTGTTGCCATAGGAGGAGCCGTGACATGCAACGATGTTTGTCTGATAACAGGTCACTCCACCTCTCCGTAATCTTCAAATCTCTTTCCAAATCCATCTCTTCTGAACTTACACTAACTAACCTCTTGCATTCGAGATTTATAATTTATTTAACACTTTATTAACTTTCTTTTATGTATGTTTTTATTTTTGTGTGAGAAGAAACACAACTTCACTATTTAATTACCATATTATTTTATTTAATGATGAAAATTTTGTGGGTATCCACAACCAACCCACACCAACCCGCAGCGGATAGTGGTTAACCACTACCCACCGTGGGGGCGGGTTGTGGGTAGCATAATTCTATATTTGTGGGTGTGGTTACCCGCAAAATGTGGGGCGGGTAACCACACTCATCCCAATTTCCACTCCTAGACACAGTGGCACAATCATAGACCAAAATGTCCTTAAACCATAAGAATGGTTAGTAACACGGTTTAACGCGGTTAACCGTTAACCACACTTTGCGGTTAGTGGTTAACCGTAAACCGTTTGCGTGCGGTCACGGTTGGCGTAAATGGCTACGTTTCGGTTGCGGTTAACCGCAAATTTCAGTGCGGTTAACCGCAACCGCACCGATTCCCAGACCTCCTAGAAAGCTATCCAATCCCTAAACACATCCTCAAATGGCACTCTGGACCAAAAGAAAATCCTTTGACTCCCTAGTTCAAACATTATGCCATGTTGCCTCTCATGTGAGAATACTCATTTTTCAAAATATTTTTTCAAATTAGAGAACCTTTTTGCAAAACTTTTTGGAGTCCAAAATTTGGGGAGAGAGTCTCGGATACATGACATAACCTTGTTATAAACGCGCTGCTACGGATCGGAAAATCGCAGGAATCGACAAAGCAAGAATACGAAAGCGAGAATCGAAAACACGACACACGATTTACGTGGTTCACTAACACGATGTGTGTTAGCTACGTCCACGGGCGAGAGAGAGCCAGTTTCACTATATTGAGGAGATTACAGATTACAGAGGAGTATGAGAAGTATTTATAGTACTTCTCCATGTGGGTCTAAACCTAATCCAATCTGGCAAAGGAAACGGTCAGCGAGACCCCCGATTACCAGTCGTAGCGGCTGATAATCCGATTCAAGTCATATCAACAAATCTCCACCTTGACTTGAATCCTCTTCCTCTGAAATCTCTGATGTACTCTGCTCCTTCTATCTCTCTCCCGCCATCAATGCCCCGCAGGGCGGAGTCACTCACTCAAGACATTCAGCAAGTCCAAGCAGTGTTGGAACTTGCCATGTGGAACCGGCTTCGTGAACATATCAGCAGGATTATCCGCGGTGCCAACCTTCTTCACCTTAATCCTCTTCTCTGTCCTCAAGAAATGATACCTCACATCGATGTGCTTAGTCCTCTCATGGTGGACTTGATCCTTGGCCAAGCATATTGCACTCAAACTGTCGCAATACACCACTGCCTGATCATGATGTAGACCCAGATCACCAACCAGTCCCTTCAACCATATTCCCTCCTTAGCAGCTTCTGTCAACGCCATATACTCTGCCTCAGTGGTAGACAAAGTCACCGCCGACTGCAAAGTTGCCTTCCAGCTCACTACAGAACTCCCAAGAGTGAATACATAACCGGTCATCGATCTCCTCGTGTCAACATCTCCAGCATAGTCCGAGTCAGAATACCCAGACACCAAGCACTCTGTATCACTTCCGAAGCTAATTCCCACATCAGGTGTACCTTTAAGGTACCGAAAGATCCTCTTCACAGCCTGCCAATGCTCCTTCCCAGGTTGTATCATAAACCTGCTGACAACACTAACAGCATGTGCAAGATCAGGTCTAGTGCATACCATAGCGTACATCAAGCTACCTACTGCACTAGCATATGGGACTCTCGACATGTACTCCTTCTCAGCCTCTGACTGCGGTGCATAAGCTGAGGATAGATGAACATTTGAAGCACTAGGAGTATTTAAGGGCTTTGCTGAAGACATGCCAAACCTCGACAGTATCTTCTGGATGTAGCTCTTCTGTGACAAGAAAAGCTTATTCTTCGACCTGTCCCTGTAAATCTCCATACCCAAGATCTTCTGAGCAGCTCCCAAATCCTTCATCTCAAACTCAGCACTGAGAAGCCCCTTTAACTTCTGGATATCAGACTTCGACCTCGCAGCTATGAGCATATCATCCACATACAGAACAAGATAGATCATCGAACCATCCTCCACCTTGTTGTGATACACACAACAATCATATGGACTTCTGCTGTAGCCCAGCTCAAGCATGTAACTGTCAAATCTCTTGTACCACTGCCTCGGAGACTGCTTAAGTCCATACAAGGACTTCTTTAACTTACAAACATAGTCTTCTTTTCCCGGAACCTCGAATCCTTCTGGCTGAGTCATGTAAATTTCTTCCTCCAACTCTCCATGTAGGAAAGCTGTCTTCACGTCTAGCTGCTCGAGCTCCAAGTCATAATGTGCCACTATTGCTAGTAGCACTCTGATCGAAGTATGTCTGACCACTGGTGAGAAAATCTCATTGTAGTCAACTCCTTCCCTCTGCGAGAAGCCTCGTGCAACCACCCGAGCTTTAAATTTCATGCCCTCTTTAGAAGTGATTCCTTCCTTCTTCTTGTAGATCCACTTGTTTGTAACAATCTTCCTTCCCTGTGGTCGTTTGACTAGCTCCCAAGTCTGATTCCTGTCATGGGATTCCATCTCATCTCCCATTTCGGCAAGCCACTGATCAGCTTCACCGCCCGAAACTGCTTCTCTGTAGGATTGTGGCTCTCATGCATCCACTTCTTCAGCAACCTGAAATGAATACGCCACCATGTCCTCGAAGCCATACCTCTGTGGAGGTACTCCTGCAGTCGCTCTCTTCGGTCTACCGGAAGCAATAGACTGTTGAGCTCGTGCACTGGACTCTGAAGTTTCTGGCTCTGCAGAGACATCCTCATCATGTTGATCTTCTCCACCTTGGTGCTCAAACTCACTCTCTTTGAGAGTTTGCAGCTCCACCTGCTTATCAACATTCCTGCTACCTTCAACAACAGTGACCTTCAACATGGGGTTAAACATAGACTTCTCATCAAATATCACATTTCTACTAAGTATAACTCGACGCTCAGAAGGTGACCAGACTCGAAATCCCTTAACTCCATCTCCGTAACCCACAAATACACCCTTCTTTGCCCTTGGGTTCAGTTTACCCTCATCCACATGATAATAAACAGGACACCCAAAAACTTTCAGTGAAGAGTAATCAGCAGGCTTACCATACCACACCTCATAAGGAGTCTTCAACTCAATACCTGTGTGAGGTCCACGGTTGATCAGGAAGCACGCCATGTTCACTGCTTCTGCCCAGAATCTTCTCTCTAGTCCAGCATTAGAGAGCATGCACCGTGCTCTCTCCAACAACGTCTGGTTCATCCTTTCTGCAATGCCATTCTGCTGGGGTGTATCTCTCACAGTCCGATGACGGGCAATCCCTTCATCCTTACAGAATTCGTTGAACTCAGAACTACAGAACTCTAGACCATTGTCCGTTCGCAGCTTCTTGATCTTCTTCCCGGTCTGATTCTCCACCAATGTCTTCCACTGCTTGAACTTCGTGAAAGCCTCACTTTTCTGCTTCATCATGAAAATCCAAGTAAATCTCGAATAATCATCAATAATAGACAGAAAATACCTGCTGCCTCCAATGGATTCAACTCGTGAAGGACCCCAACAGTCGGAGTGGAGGTAATCCAGTATCCCCTTCGTCCGGTGGATACCCTTCTTGGGAAATTTGCTGCGATGTAGCTTCCCAAACACACAATGCTCGCAGAATTCTAAATTCTGCATCTTGTGCCCGCAAAGAAGATCCCTCTTCGATAGAACTTGCATCCCCCGTTCACTCATATGCCCCAGTCTCATGTGCCAGAGAGTGGTCATATCTTCCTGATGAACCTGAGATGATGCAACGGCAGCAGAACCAGACAACACAGACCCTTGTAATGCATACAAGGTCCCACGCTTCACGCCCTTCAGCACCATCCGTGAACCTTTGCAGACATACACAACTCCACCTTTTCCTTTGAAACTGAAACCCTTGCTGTCGAGTAGACTCAAGGAGATCAGGTTCTTTGTCATTCGTGGAACATGCCTGACATCATTCACGGTACAGAACGAACCATCATGTGTCCGAACCTTTATGGATCCGATTCCAACAACCTTGCAGACAACTCCATTTGCCATGACCACGTTACCACCATCTATCTGCTTGTAGGTTGTGAAGCAATCCCTGTTCGGAGACATATGGTATGAGGCTGCAGTATCCAGAAACCACACATCACCACGATGTGCCTTCTCATCTACAGCCAAGGCGAGATCGTCTTCAGAACTGTTGTCCACTTCTGCCACGGCAACTGAACCTTGTTTCTTCTGTTGCCCTCTTCTCTTGGGACAGTTGTACTTCCAATGCCCCACTTCCTTACAGTTGTGACAAGCATCACCTGGCTGTGGACCGGGACCCTTGGAATTCTTGTTCGAATTCCCTTTACCAGATTTCTTCTTTCCCTTTCCACCTGTAACAGCCAAACCCGATGCCTCACCACCTGTACCAGATCCGGACGCCTTATGTCTGATCTCTCTCGTATGAAGAGTAGACCTGACATCCTCCAACGACACGCTTTCTTTACCATCAATAAAAGAATCAACGAAATTCTCATATGAACTCGGCAAAGAAACCAGCAGGATTAGGGCAGCATCCTCGTCATCAACTTGAACATCTATATTACGCAGATCCAGCAAGATAGAGTTAAGCTGTTCGAGATGTTCCCTCAAAGGCGTACCTTCTTGCATCCTCAAGCTGAACAACCGTTGCTTGAGATGCAGCTTGTTGGTTAAGGACTTCGTCATATACAGACTCTCCAACTTTAACCACAAGCCCGCGGCAGTCTTCTCAGCAGCGACTTCAATGATGACGTCATCAGACAATGATAGCATGATGGTCGAGTGGGCCTTCTCCTCCAGGGTATTCCACTCATCGTCATCGACCGCTGCCTTCTTCTGTTTCGCAGACAGCGGCCCCCACAGCCCTTGCTGTTTTAATAAAGCCTGCATCTTGATCTGCCATATAGCGAAGCTGTTCTTCCCCGTGAACTTTTCGATCTTCATGTTCACCGACGTCATTCTTCTGAATTGAAAACCCTAGCCTGATTTCCAGCCGCGGCTCTGATACCACTTGTTATAAACGCGCTGCTACGGATCGGGAAATCGCAGGAATCGACAAAGCAAGAATACGAAAGCGAGAATCGAAAACACGACACACGATTTACGTGGTTCACTAACACGATGTGTGTTAGCTACGTCCACGGGCGAGAGAGAGCCAGTTTCACTATATTGAGGAGATTACAGATTACAGAGGAGTATGAGAAGTATTTATAGTACTTCTCCATGTGGGTCTAACCTAATCCAATCTGGCAAAGGAAACGGTCAGCGAGACCCCCGATTACCAGTCGTAGCGGCTGATAATCCGATTCAAGTCATATCAACACCTCGATATTAAACAGTATCAACACATCCAAGGGAAAATAGAAGTATAGCCACTCATGATTAAAAAAAATCTTTGTAGCGCCACACTACTCCCTATAATGCAAAAACTTTTCAAAGCATAGTGAGTAGGAATAATGCATGAGACAATGTGTTTAGAACTCAAGAAATTTTTAAATTTTGACCATGTAACCTAGGTTCCAAAACATCCTCAATGTAGGCCAAATCCAATTATTCATTTCAAAAGTTCTTGGAACCCTCAAATTGTAGAAATTTGGAAATAACAAGGATCCAAATCATTCAAATTTAGGCTATTCATCACATTTGCATTCACTCGCCAAGTTACCGAATCATTAATGAGTGGAAGTTTGACGGGAGTCCAAACAGTTTTGAGGGATATAGAGAGCTTTACGTAGAACAAACACACCAACACAAACACATGTTCACCAAAGTCAAGGTTATTACCACAAATAAAATATTAAACGTCAGAATAAAAGAAAAACAAACTAAGTATTTCACATTCACACACACTAAGAGAAAAACAAAAGTTCAGAATCAAAGGGTAGAGAAGTGGAGTGGTGGCACTATAGTGCCAACATGGCACTCATGACTGGTCGTCGTCCTGTGATGGCTTCTCCTAGAAAAGAGGCAAAGGATGCCAGTGGGCACCTAGAACTGGATGTCGTGAGAGCGTAGGAGCTCCTCCTCCATGTGGTGTGAATGACATCGGGCGTCACACTATCAGTCAAGCTGAGAGGAGAAACCAGCTACCTGGACCTCAAATGTAGTGACTCAGTCCTCAATATTTCCCGAGGAAGAAGGACCAACTCCTGATGATGAAGTAGAGGCACCAATGTGGCCCCATTTGCGCGATGGTGGAGCCCTCCGGGACGACTCTCCAACCACTAGTCGGAAGAGGGACAAAGGTCCGAGGCCATCAATGTAATCTATGCCTCTCTCAACACGCACCAAACCCATATGATGGAGTGTCTCCACCGGGAAGATCTCCGTCCTCCTAACCATTGTGCAGTTGGCAGTGTCGACTCCAAAGAATCTCACGAGTCGAGTGATGATAGGGCCCAAGTGCATATTGTAGATATGCACTCGGCCCAAAATCCTTAGAAATGATGTTTCCATGAATGCTTATAGATGGATGGGCTTTCGAGGTGCGCTCATAGTGTGAAGCGCCACTATCTCGCGGAGGGTCACTTGCCTTTGAGCTTGCAGATTATGAAAACAAGGTGTGTCACCAACAAGTCGAGGATCTTTCACTAGGGTTGGAACTGATTCGCCTTTGTGTGATGCACACGAAACATGTGATCCCAGTGCTCCTCTAGGTAGATCGCCTCGTACACCCACTGGGGAACCACATCCCAAGTTTACTCAAAAAATTGTCAAGGTCATGGTTGCCGTGTTGAGCCCCAAAGCCCAGTTTCAAGGTGTCATATACAATCATGTGGATGATGCCATCGAGATTGAACTTGATATATGGCTGGGCATGTCGCAATCGAGGCTGCTCGTGCCCAAAGGTGGAGTAGAACTCCAAGCATAGCTCCTACAGGATCCATTCAACAATGCTGAGCAGTTGGCACCACTACGGATGAGCGAAGACTACTGAGATTGAAGTATGGCAGTGGAAAAGCCCGAACATGTCCAGGTCGAGGCGCCAACGGGGTCCAATGTTGTAATTTCTCCACTACTCATATCGATCCCCATACATGGGGTGATTCACCAAGTGATGGATGTACGGGTGCATAGGGTCAACCATCCGTCAAAACACCAAATTGACAAGCACCATACGTGGAAATATCAATAGACAAAGCATAATGGGGAGGAAAATCACTTCCCCATAGTTAATTTCTAACATAGGTGATAAGGTGACATAAACTTTTCACAAGGCCGGGTCACCATCAAATGAGCTCAATCCTCCCTGAAACACATCGAGGAATGAAACTAGGTGCTTCCTATATCAATTGGGTTGCATTTTCAATAATAGAACATGCCTCAAAGGCCACCATTCAACAATCACAACATGGTATCAAGACTAAGCATTTAATCAAGCACTTGGTGGGCATGTTTCAATACAATATCCATAGCATGCATAATTTTTCCCACAAAGGCACAAACAAGCATACAACCAATATGGATACATGCAAATGATCATCATATATCAAACCCCTTGCCCAATTTCATCAAATAAATCAAGCATTCAAATCATCCTCAACCTACAACTCATATCCGATTCTCCAACTTAAACAAGATAAGTGTCAAAACACATATATAGAATCAAGTAGGAATGATGATGGAGGTGAGAAGGTCAAAATACGGCTAAAAATAGCTGGAGAAGGTCACTAGAGTCTTGCCGGAGGCTATCCGGAGCGTCAACGACAAAACTGCCACAAAATTTGCCCTAAAGCTCTTCAAAGGAGCACCTAGGCAAGGGAGAATGGGTATGTGCTTGGTTTTAATTCGGGCGACGGTAAGTAGATCAATCATTAAAAACCCTTTAGAGGTGATGTTTTCCAACAACAGATTCGAAATAGGTGTAGTGTAGAGCATGTATATTTTCAACTATCAACCCGGGTAGTTCGTCTACCCTTACTTCAGTAAACCACAAGTTATCAAACTAAGAAAACAAACAACTAAAACGATGTTGAATTCAAGTGACAAGTCTCCACTCAGGTGATTATCCTCCTAGTCCCATGTTGAGATGAGATTGTGATACTCTACTACGATTGGCAAGTTCTATATACCGTTAGGAGATCAAATATAGTTAGGGTCCCCTAAGTGCATCCTAACTCGCCTAATTGATATAATTGGAGGAGCGTTCCACGCTACCGCAATAGATGACTAGGGAAACCAAATCCACTCCCTTGGGCATTGATCTGGAATTGCTTAAAGACAACAATTATCCACGATCATGGCTCTCTATGATGATTGAATAGTGACCCAACTTGCCATAAGGATATCTTCTCTCTCTTAGGTCAATTAGCCCCAAAATGGAGGGAATTGATCAAGGACACTCAATTTTCAAGATAAATACTCAATTAATATATAACTAAACATGCCCATCATCACATAGAGTTCACAAATATAAATCTACAACATCCTAGAATAGGGTTCACTTCATCCAAGTGAAAAGAGAAACTACTCCATAGTTAGAGAAAGAACAACGACTAGAAAAATGGAAAACCCCATGGGAACTTGATTCTTTTTCTTCCAAGTTGCTTGGATTGATCCTTGGTGATGAAATCTAGCCTCCAATTGGATATGGTAGATCAAATCCACATTCAATTCTCCCTTATTTGTAGCTTTCTCTCTAGGTCAAGGAATAAGGAACTCAATCTCACACTAATATTCTACTCCTTTGAAAACTTGCTCCCTCTTCTTTATATAGCCCGAAAGTGCACGTTTCACGATTGCACGTCACGCCCCTGAAGTGTGCTATAAAACAGTTATCTTAACGGAAAACGCGTTGTTTCATTAACACACTTCACGGTCTCACTACTGACTTCACGGTCTAGGTTCATAATCCTTGCGATGCTTGCGAGACGTCTGAAATCTCCTGGATACTTGCAATCTTCAAGGCCTCCTTACAATCTCCACGGTCTTTTGATGAAATAAAATTTACTTTTCATAAAAAGAACTCTTTAACCAAACAAGACAATTCAAATTAAATTACTACATTACAATGAAAAATAACTATGACATACCACAATCTCAAATAATTCACTATTTGAGATCAAATACCACACCTCATCAAATAATCCATCTAAATGACACCATAGTCTAATTGTACTTTGTGTCATTAGGCCCAAGCAAGCCCACAACCTTTACCTTCGCTTCGTCATTACCCTCTAGCCACTAACCGGATCGATGCTGACGTTCCTAGCTTGCCCACTCAAGATTTGTACCGTTGAGAGTCCTAAGTCGGCTTGGACTCTCTATTCATGTAATCCAAGATCACATTGGATGAACTATCTGAAGGGAGAGTTTCCACATTTGGCAGGCATACAATGTAGATCCCACTAAAAGATCTCGATCCAATACAACATTGTATTCCAATTTAACGCTCGATCCATTGACCGATAATGAGTAATTGAGAAATTGCTCTGATCAATCTAATTGGATATTCTCTACCTTAGGTCAGTTGCCCCAGTTTGGGAGTATGATCAATACCCATACAAATTCATGGTTATATCTCAGTTCCATTTATAATCAAGAGTGTAATCAAACAAAGGAATTGTTCAAACATAAATTCCTATCACACAGAACTAGAACATGGCTTGGTTTATCAAAACCTAAATGAAGGAAAACTAATCCATAGAGAGGAGAGAGATTACAATTTAAAGCTCAAGATCTTCAATCTTCATCTTCTAGGTTTGATCTTCTAGCTCCAATGGGGGTGGGTACCTCCAATTTAGCTCAAGAACCCTCCTAGGTCACTCTCCCTCTATTTAGAATGCCCCTTGAATGTTTTTGGTCGAAACCCGAGCTCTTCCCCTCTCCAAATGGCAGAAATAGATTTATATCGAAGTTTGCAGAAGTCACACGTCACTTTGGCCATTTGAACATCTCAAATATCCCCCTATATCAAAAGTCATTGTTTTGTGTCAAATGTCTCCGAAATGAGGTTATTTTGCTGTCTATTTGCACATGGCATTGCTTGATTGGGAATGTCACTCCATGGGCCTTGAAATTTGCACTCAACCTGTGACTTGTTGACTCGCCACAGACTACACCGCGAATTAAAATCCCGACTAGAGCCCAAGTATAAACTCTAGCCGGGTGCAGCATAGGGCAAGTATGTTTTAATTGTCAACCCAGTCCGATCCATGTACCCCTTCTTCAATCGCTGAAGTTCTTATCTAGCAAATGGTTTTTTGGTTAAAACTAAAGAAACTACAAATGAAAAAAACCAAGTAAAGTAAATCGATGTTGATCCAATAAAAGAAGAATTCACCCGGGTATTGCTTCCCCTAGCTATATATCAAGATTAGTCGAAAAGAATGCAAGTGTGTGGAAAAGTGGTTATAAACAGTATGAGAGTGCAACTATTGAAGAAGTTTCACTCTATCGGTCGATGGGCCAAGGAATGTCAAAAGAATCTAACGAATTAGCTCTCTTGGCCAATCAACTAAGGGTTGCCAAGGCTACTACCTCGGACCTTAATCCGAGTAGCAAAACACCAACCAACTCAAAGCGCTAAAACATAATATGATGTTTGCCCTAATTCGGCCTAACTAGGTGGCTCAATTGGCCAAGGAATTTCAACTTAAAAAAGCCTCTTAACAAGAAGGGGATTTCCCTCCATCTAGGTCAAATTGGCGCAATAGTGAGAAATGGAAAACACAAGTCAACCTTTATGAAAATACCTCAATACTTGCATTAAAACACAACCCACACACAAGACATTCAATTCATACAATCTATCACATACAAAGAGCTAGGGTTCACAATATCCAAGTGAAGAGGAACTCTACTCCATATCTAGGTGAAGGAAAACAACAAAGATGAAAGAAAGAACAGTGGTGGATGCTTATCTTCCCTCCTTGTTGATGAGATTTCCCTTGAGAGGTCAGAATCTTCACTCCTCTAGCTTAAAGTAAGCCTAAATCTTCTTCTTCTATCCTTGTTGAATACTTTCTCTCTCTAGATTTTGAAGAAGAAGAAGATCTTTCTCTCACTAGGGTTTCCCCCTTGGGGTTTCTTCAACTGGAACCCTAGAAGGGAACCCAGAAAATGTAAAACCAACCCAAGATCCAACCTCCTTTTCTCTCTTCCAGTTGCCTTCTATTTATACAGCACGACAGTCACGGTCTCAACATCACGGTCGTGACTTTGGAGGTCAAACCGTGATGTCGGACAAAAACGCAGGTCACAAGTTCCATTTTGGTCCGACATCATGATCACTGGACCTTCATCATGGTAAGGAGACCGTGACAATCCTTAGGCCCGCGGACACCAAAATTCTCCTGATTCCCTTGCGCTGCACACCCACTGTTCAATTATCACGGTCTCGTGACTATGACAAATGACTCCAAACCGTGATAATTGACTATTTTTCACATTTTGGCACTTTTCGACTCCATTCATCCTGAAACTCCTCCTCGACCCTTCCACACGTGATAGGACCTGAAATGTATAAAAAATAGTACAACCTAGCTAGCGTAAAATAGGTCCAGGGAAGATGAATGCAAAGTTAAACTATCAAGAAATGAGGGGGTAAAATATGTGTAATTAGCCCCGAATCACTCCCCCACGCTTGAGGTTTGTCCCACAAAATCCTCCATGGCCAACTTCAACTTGGATTTCACCTCGAGTTGTGGAGGGAAAACCTCTTGGTATGGGGAAGCTTCTTGGTATCCCCATTAGCATGGTTGCTCTTCTTGGAAGGGAGGTTGGTAGCAGATCCCATATCCTTGGCTTCCCCCATTTTGATCGTCCCATGAAGTTTTGGGGTAACCACTCTCGGGTGGCGTTGGATACCCCCACACTTGAGTGAAATCATAAGGATCCATGATCCAACACCTACAAACACAAAAACAAAAACGAAAAGTCAAACACACACAAACCACCCTTCAAGACGAAGAGTGGGTTAATCAAAACACAAAACAAAAGGAAAGATACAAAATGCTAGAGTAACACTAACCGACTTTTTTCGGGATAACGGACCACAAGTCCCCAACAACGGTGCCAAAAACTTAACTCACCACAGACTACACCGCGAATTAAAATCTCGACTAGAGCCCAAGTATAAACTTTAGCCGGGTGTAGCATAGGGCAAATATGTTTTAATTGTCAACCCGGACGGGTCCATGGACCCCTACTTCAATCGCTTAAGTTGTTATCCAGAAAATGGTTTTTTGGTTAAAACTAAACAAACTAAAAATAAAAAAAATCAAGTAAATTAAATAGGTTGGCCCAATAAGAGAATAATTCACCCGGGTATTGATCCCCTAGCTATATATCAAGATTAGTCGAAAAGAATGCAAATGTATGGAAAAGTGGTTGTAAACCGTAAGAGACCGCAAATAGCTCTCTTGGCCAACCAACTAAGGGTTGCCAAGGCTACTTCCTCGGACCTTAATCCGGACGGCAAAACAACAACCAACTCAAAGCGCTAAAACGTAGTATGAGGTTTTCTTTAATTCGGCCTAAGTAGGTGGCTCAATTGGCCAAGGAATTCCAGCTTATAAAAACCTCTTTGCAAGAAGGGGATTTCCCTCCACCTAGGTCAAATTGGCACAATAGTGAGAAATGGGAAGCACAACTCAACCTTCATGAAAATACCTCAATACTTGCATTAAAACAAAAACCACACACAAGACATTCAATTCATACAATCTATCACATATAAAGAGTTAGGATTCACAATACTTAAGTGAAGAGGAACTCTACTCCACAGCTAGGCAAAGGAAAACAATAAAGATGAAAGATAGAACCAAGGTGGATTTTAGTCTTCCCTCCTTGTTGATGAGAATTCCCTTGAGAGGTGAGAATCTTCACTCCTCTACCTTGAAATAAGCCCAAATCTTCTTCTTCTCTCCTTTTTGATCACTTTCTCTTTGTAGATTTTGAAGAAGAATCCCTTTTTCTCACTAGGGTTTCCCACTTGGGATTTCTTCAGCTGGAACCCTAGAGGGAACCCAGAAAACATAAAACCAGCCCAAGATCCAACCTCCTTTTCTCTCTCCCAATTGCCTTCTATTTATACAGCCCGACAGTCATTTTCAATGTCTCAAGCAAAATGTCGGACAAAAACGCAGGTCATCGGTGCCGTTTTGGTCCAACATCACGATCAGTAGACAATTATCACGGTTAGGCGACCGTGACAATCCTTACGCCCGCGAGATGGGAAAATTCTCTTGGTTCCCTTGCGATTCACGCCCACAGGTCAATTATCACGGTCTCGTGACCGTGACAAATGACTCCAAATTGTGATAATTGATTGTTATTACGGTCACTAGACAATTATTACGGTCAGGCAACCGTGACAATCCTTACGCCCGCGAGATGGGAAAATTCTCTTGGTTCCCTTGCCATTCACGCCCACAGGAAAATTCTCTTCATATTTTGGCATTTTTCGACTCCAATCGTCCCGAAACTCGTCATTGACCCTCCACACGTGCTAGGACCTGAAATATATCAAAATAGCACAACCTAACGTAAAATAGGTCGAGGGACGGTGAAATGCTAAGTCAAACTATCAAGAAATGAGGGGTAAAATGTGTGTAATTAGCCCTGAATCACTTGTGCACAAACTTGCACATCTCACTGTCTATTTGTATGTCATCCATAGGCTATGACTTATGCACTCAACTTGTGACATGTGCACTACCACTACTTTTTGGCATGTTTTAACCTTCAAATGCCTCAGAACTCGCTCTTAAAATCTCTCCTAGTACTAGGATCTTAAATATGACAAAAGAAACATAATCGAGCGTAAAATAGACCATAGTGTATGAATTTCCTCAATTCCCATCAATCAACAAGGTTAATTGAAAGAATAAAGGTGAGATCTTAACCAAACACTAAAAGAACTTCTGATCTCCAATTGGGTCGAGTTCAAGGCATATAAGCACATCAACACCAAATCGTAGGCTTCAATCCAAAGTTGATGCATCAACATGAGTCCAACCCATCCTAATCATAACTAAGAGGAAGAGAATTGACAGACGGACTAGGGCCATAGCTTATCTTGTTATTTGAAAAGAGTCTTTCAAGAAATTGACTTTACTTGTTTGCTTTGTCAATAAACAAAAGAAGAGTTTTGGTTGCGCTGTTTTGCTGGAAGCTGATGAACATACGTACATGTAGGCGACATGTGCTGGAATTGAAAAAATGGAGCATAAGAAAGTTATGGAGAGAGCAACAATTGTCAAACGGAGGAAACTTCGCGAAATCGAAGTACTCGTCAGTAGAGCAGTCGATTAATATTCTCATTGCTCTATCAAAGCACATCACATTGAAAACCTTTGTGTCCTTAGTGATTGTGACGAGAAACTGAAAGAGGAGGATGGGTGGCGCTGGAGGGAGACCAGAGTTGAAGTTGGAGCAGAATTCACAGTTAAACTTAGAGGAGAGCTAGAAATCTCGTCGCCGTTTATGGTTCCCCGTCATCTCCTCCATTCCACAAGTCTCATCTTTAGTTTTTCCTTACTTCCCAATGTTTGCTCCAATGTATTTTCATAATTTCGGTAAGTCTTGCAAAATTGATATATTATTTTTTTTCTCGGTGATTGATTGAGTTTTGATTATTATTTATTGCAGTTAATGGATTTCACTACATAAATTATTTTATGTCTTCAATTCTTTGTCGTTTTAGCTCACTATTGTAAAAATATTGGTGTCTCTTGCATGAGAATTTTATGAGGATTATATGAGGCATTTACTTGTTGTATAATTTCTTAACCAAGCAAGGAGTACTAGACAATTATATGCATTTGATTTTTTTTTTGTGTGTGCAAATTATGTGCATTTGTTTTTGTAGAAGTTATATGTATTTGTTGATGTAAGCAATGCATATTTTTAAGTTAAAAATTCATTTAGTCAAATATTTATCTTATCATAAAATTTGTTTTGAAAGTTCTCGTTATTTAGCACTAACTGATAATGGCGGTGACGGGGCAACTAAAGAGAAAGAGAGGGAGGAATTTCCAATCCCAGCAGGTGAATTTGACAACGAATTAGAGGTTGGAGGTTGGAATAGAGGAAGGCAAAAGATTGCGGTGGGTTCCTAAATCTTATCTCCGGATAATGACGGAGACGAGATAAGCAAATTATTTAGGGTGGTTTGGAGAATATGAATTTAAATATTTATATAATTTGGGTGACAAATGTGAAATATTTATATAATTCGAGTGACCAAACGTGTAATTTAGTCACATTTTTCCAACATGTGCCACATTTCCCAGGGAATTGAAAAAACAGAAGACCATGTCCTACGAAAATGCCCAACGGCGAGGGTTGTTTGGCGGACTCTCCATCCTGGTCAGATCACACATGACTTCTTCACGGTACCTTTCTTCGATTGGCTCTTTTCCCATCTTTCGTTGCCAGATTTTTAGGTCCGTCTTGGGAATGAGGACATCTTTTTAGGTCTAGCAGCGGCACCCAATGAGATTAGCAAAAGAACCTTTGCTTAGGAGAGAATCTCAACTAAGGAGTCATCCATCAACATACTCCCGTCGAAGCCTGGACGTGGGGTGGAGACCGGCACCGCAAGAGGAGTCGGTCAAAGTAACTTCGACGGTTCGTTACTCTCATCTTCCCGATAAGCAGCAGCCAGAGGAGTTGTGCGAGATTTGCATGATCGGTTGTTGGGTGCCTATGCTATGAACTTAGGAAGTTATATTCCCTTACCAGAGCCGAAGTGAGAGGTATCATTGAGGGTCTCGAGGTGTCAAGCCATCTCGGTCATTGAAAGGTGGAAGTTTGGCTTGATTCCACCGCTGCAGTAGCCAGGAAGACCCGAACCACCAACACGCTTCCCTCGTCCTGCGTTTGCGAGCCCTCGTGGATCGTGATTGGCAGGTTTGGGTAGTTCACATATACAGAGAAGGCAATGCTTAGCGGATTGCACAGCTAGAAAGGGTCGCTCATGTTATTTCTCTTTCAGATCCAGATCTTACTCATTTGAACATGTATGATAGACTTGGAGGGGCAACGCATCATTGTATTTTATGTTAATTTGAGATAGTGGTGCTATGCACCCTTTTCTCTGATAAAAAAAAACAAAAAAATAGTGTAGCAGGTTGCAAATTTGTTTGAGTTATTGTTTGATGCATTGCTCACTGAACTCGACGAGCAAAAAATGAAATCTGAAGTGAAGTAAAAAGGTTCACAAGCCTTGAATCTTAATCCGCACTGTACACTCTATCAGTAATGATTGACTCATAATCATAGGAGAAGCGAATCTGTTTACCCTAAAAATTAAAGAAAGATTTTCCCTTCGCCGCAAAATTTGGTCAGCAAAAACACAAATAGAGCCGACTCCCGAATTCATTGTGCTCTACACGCGCTGTTCACAGAAGGTCACCGCCGAAATTCATGTTCAAAAATGGAGCCGGACGACTCTGCCCTCCTCCGTTTCTGCAATTTCCTCCGGGTGCGGTGGAATCCCCGTCATGCCGAGCCACCGCTTGATCCCTGCAAATCGGGCAGCTGGAAGAGCGGGTGGAGAGCCAGAGATCGATGCATCCCCTGTGAAACACGTGGTCGCAATTGGGCAGCACCCTCAAGCAATCCCCGATCTCGTACTCCTCCAGGCAGATCGAGCACACCGCCGAGAACGAGCAAGACGGCGCCGCCTGCGATTCGTCCGCGCTGTAGGCGAACTCCGGAAACGTCGCCAGAACTTGCTCCACCGCCGCTTTCCTATTCGATTCGGAGCGGCGATCGGTGCCCTGTTCGGGGGAGGCCGGGCAGAATTTGAAGAAACAGAACACGAAGAGGCAGAGAACCGTGAAAAGAATAGCGAATGTTCCGCAAGTGAGCAAGATTCTCGCCGTCAGGCTGCTGGGGCCTTCTCCCGACGGCGCGACGGCATCGGCGAGCATTCTCCGGCACGGGAGCTCGATGTGGAGATCCGCAATTTGATACTCCATATCTCCCCTTGCAAAAGGGGCGGACGGACCAGCCGTGTGAGGTGGATATGAAGTGAACCTGTTGTTGGACGAAAAGCTCGAGGGAGAAGAGACTAATATATAAAGAAAAAAAAAATATATGGTGAATTGGAGGGGGGAGAAGATGGCTGGTGTGGTGAGTGATCCCCAAGGAATGGAAACTCCAAGATTTTGGAAGTTTCCTGGAAGCAGCAGCAAATCATTTATTTGCTGTTTAGTGCAGCCATCGGACATATATACATAGATAAACCTTAATGATAGTGTTTCTTACCTAATATCAGGAGCTAAACGTGCTCTAATTCGAAAGGCTGTTACAGATAACAGATTGGAGCCCTTCCTGTGGTTTTCCATATACAATCCATTCGTTCCATAAATGGACTTCTCCTTTGATTACTAACTAGTGTGGCCCCGGCCAGTTGGCCGGAGGAAGATGAGGAATGAAATTTGAGAATGTAATGGGTGTATACAGTGGCGGACTCAGGATTGTCGGAGAGGTGTGTCGCCGATAAAATATAATAATTAAATTAAATTAAAAATTAAGTAAAAATTAAAAGAAATTAATTCATAAAGTTCACAATGTCATGTAATCATGTTTACAACGAACTGCGACGACTTTTCATCTGCTGAAATGTCTCTAAAATACATTCATCACTTATATATGCTGCAAAGCAAATCTTTTTCAATATACACAACTAAACAATCATTCATAAATTGGTCACTCAACCGATTTCGAAGATCGTTCTTGATTATCTTCATAGCTGAAAATGCTCTTTCACAGCTTGCAGTTGCCACAGGTAAGGTCGACACCAACTTTAACAGCAAGTAAACTAAAGGATAAAGAGTGTCCTTTCCCCTTTCCACCAATTTCCTAGCTAGCTCGTCGATTCCTCGCAATCCATCAAAGCTCTTATCCTCCTTGACATGAGAAATGTAGCCCCCCAATTGTTGATGAAGTCGTGAGAGCACATTGGATGGAAACTCCTCGGGATAAAACTCAGTAAGACTCATCAACTTTGCTTTATCAAAAGAAGCAAAAGAGTTACCTGGACTAAAACAAGAAATGCAGTCCAACAATCGAGTGTTCACCTCACCAAATCGAGTATTCAATTCTTGCAACTGCAAATCTATAACTGCATAGAATAAATCGACTTGATAGTAATGCAAGTTTGTAGGCTGATGAGGGGTGCTACGGGGGAACAGGGGATTATATTTTTTGCGACTTGCGAGCGAGAGAAGAGGGAACAGGGGGAGTAATGGGGATGGGTCGCTGGGGCTTGGGATACGGACAGGGAAATGGCAATTGGGCCATTAATTTGGGGATTGGGCCATTAATTGGATTGGGAGGGAAGGAATAATAATGGGAGGAGGTGGCCGATTGGGCTATTGCCCATTTGGCCTATGATTTTTTTTCTCTCTATTTAATTATAGGCCCAGGCCCAACACTATGTTGTATGAGTTGAGAGTGTTTTTTTTATATATGAAGGATAGGATTATGCTTTAGGAGTTATTTTAAACAAAATTAAAAAGGATTATGATTAAGATTGATTCATTTGGATAATAATTTCTTCGAGTATAATGAAGGTGTGTCGGCTATAATTATTGAAGGTGTGTCGGCTATCCCGAAGTAAAAAATTTTGTACCAAAAATATGTAGGTCCTTCGTAAAATTCTCGAGCGAGGGTGTGTCGGACGACACACCCTGCCCCTTCTTAGGTCCGCCTCTGGGTGTATAGCTTATTGTTGTATCGTTTTTTTTTTTTGTGAACACGTGATAGAGATAGTGAATTTTAGCAGAAAAGAGGCGTGGATGATGCAACGAATAAAAAATCAGCCTTATGAACAAAAATCAAGTACATGTTACCTTATGAAACAATATTATTTTTGGTAATATGATGAGGTGGAGTAGGTTTTGTAGAAACCGAATTCCAGAAAACCGAATAAAATATCGCTTATCCCGTCGGTCTTCGGGAAATGAGCATCTCACAATCGTTGCTAGCTTTTACTCGGCCCGTTGGCCAATTGATTTGCTTTATAAAAATTTCATCGTGTCGTCGTTGTGCTTTTTGGTTTTTGTCAGGCCATGATAAAATCTAAAGAAATCAAGAACGAACAACATGATTTGGTATAGTACCCATTGTTCCTGTATCCCTAGAAAATGGTGGTAAACACGGACTCAGCTGCCAAACTGGTTTGGATTGAGATTTTTATCGGGTATCAGGGAACCATGTGATTATAAATTAGACTTGATCAAAACGGGCCAAAACTTGAAATTCAGCCTGTTTGACCGACCCATGCCAAATTCTAATTATTCTTTAATTTTCTATTTGAAAATAAAAAATAGTGAAAGAAAAGATATGACTGTAATTCGCCATTTGCACATCACTGATTCGCGAATAAAACAATAGAAATTCGAAAAAGAAACTGAAAAGGTTTAGGATCGTTTTAATGTTAAAAATAATCAAAAAGATCTTTATGTTTAATTTTTTACTAACAAATAGCAAACGATTTCCTATAAAATACACTATAATTTAATCATTATGATATCAAATAATTACGCTATATTTGAAATAATAAAAATTGGACTAATTGGGTTGGTCGAGGTTGAACCATTTAATATCATTAAAATACATTATATTTTAAGCACTAAGATATAAAATAATAGCATAATATTTATTATACTAGAGAAAATAGCTTGTTTTAGAATGACAAACCCATGATGTTCATTTGTTTTACTTGATGGCCAAATCCCGTATAGGTAAGGCCCATTCAACTCTTTGATTTTATGGTTAGTGGTTAGCCCGTTAGAATCCATGCATTTGTTTATTGTTAAATTTTTTTTCTTTTTAGCAATAAAAGGGAGTATTGTTTTTGCCCTTTCATATATATTTTACCAACACTAAGAAATAAAGGGGTTCAAGAAAACATTTGACACTCCTGGACCCGTTTAAATCTGCATGTGTACGGTAAGTTGGCCCGTTTCACAGAGGAAAGAGATAAAAATTGACACTCCCTATTCTACCCTTCCTACAAACGCTCTTGGAGCAGGAAATTTGAAATGGGGGAAGGATTTTTTCCTCCCTGCTATTATATTATGAGTAAAAACACTATTATCCAGAAATAGAAAAAGATAAGCAAAAAGGCGAGAAACAGTCGGACAATGGAAAAGCCTGCATAGGAATACATTGCTCGCTCTAGGGACTCTTTGTTACAATAAACAACCCTCTAGAAAATCCAAAACCTTGAGACATCAAACAAACCTCCCACGACACTAATGTATGGCATGCCATTTTCCAACAGGTTTTTCCAATTTAAACTTCAAAACGAAAGTCAAGCATTGGATTACTTCTAAATAAATGAACTTTTCACCATTAAACCAAAATTCACAATCATTAACAGTTAATGCGAAGAATACATTTCTCGGGCCAATTACAACATTTAACTACACGATATAGTAGAATGGATTCAATCTGTTTCCTACTAATGGTATAAACGTATACCGGTACCATCGTTGTACCCTGACCTGCCATTTGAGATGAGTTACTTTGTAATACAATTGCATTTTATAAACACCCATTAGGTAGGGGTGAGCGTTCGGTCGGTTCGGTTTTGAACCGAACCGAACCACCACATGCCGAATTTCCGAGATGTCCAACACACCAACCAAATTCAAACCGAGTTGTAATTCGGTTTGGTTCGACCGAACCAAATTATAACTCGGTTCGGTTCGAATGGTCAAAACCAAAATTCATTGCTGCCCGAGATTTTGCATGTTGCTGCCCCTGTTTTTGCATTCTGGGCTGGCTTCTGGAAATGGGGCTAGCTGGCTGCTGTGCCCACAGCCCACCCCTACACTACATTTTCACCATGGAAATTTGGCATGGGGCTGCTCAGTGCTGCCATTTCACATGTCATTTATAAATTTCCACCTGTCATTTCACATGTCTATCAAAGACAATTAATTAAAACAAGCATTTAAAGTTGGAAGATAAATCAATTGTCCACCTACACATTACATCAAGTTGGAAGATAAATAAAGCACATTCAACACATTACATTGCATCAAGTTCTTCCAAATCCAAATATTCATTACAAAACAAATGGTTCTAAGTTCAAACTAATAAGAGAAAGGTAACCAATGTCTAAATTCCAAGCATAACTTGTACAAACTCCAAAGGTCTTGCTTCTTGGCTCTTCCCTCTTGGACAATTGACACCTTTGAATTCGAAAATAGTACAATAAACACAAAACAGTGATGGTTAGTGATTAATAAGTTTAGAGCTAATCACAAGTAACCAAGTAGAATAAAATAATTAGTTCTTACCTTTGAAGTCATCAACCATGCATAGAAACATCAGAAGTATCACCACAAGCACTACTGGATGCACTGCCATCGTTCCTCCTCCCACTCGCTATATTGGAAGTCGAGGTAGATGAAACTAGATTATCTCTTATAGAGATTGCATTCATCAACTTGTCCAATTCTGTATGATTAAAAGACTCAAAATTAGTCATGACATAAAAATTAATCATGTTATAAATATGTAATGCTAAATTTGAAACTTCACATTCATCTATTTTCTCAACCTCTTCTGGATCCTCCTCGATTGATGGTGGTGCAGAATCACCTCGAATCCAATCCGAGCTACAAATTAAAGCCTCTACTATCTTAGGAGTCAATGAACTTCTGAAATCATCTAGAATCCTCCCACCAGCACTAAAGGCAGATTCAGATGCAACGGTAGAGATTGGAACCGCTAGAACATCCTTAGCCATCATGGAAAGGGCAGGAAACCTCAAGCTGTTAACCTTCCACCAACCTAGTACATCAAATTTGAGCACCATTGGCTCGTCTTCCTCACGAAGGTATTTCTCAAGCTCGGATTTGTTTACCGCCCCTACAATTTGCTCTCTATGCCTAAGGTATTCAGCAAGTAGATCAAGCTCATCAGCATCACACTCCTCCACAATTGGGGCCAAAGAAGTAGAGGCATTCTTGCTTTGTTTTGACTTTCAAAGCTGTTCATAGTGAGCAAATAGATCAAATGTAGCGGTCTTCACATCCTCAGCCATACGTGCTCCCTTGCCACCCTCAGGATACACCCTTATCAAAGCAAAGTCGACAAAACCCATCTTGTACCTCGGATCCATTACAGTGGAGATGTAAAGTAGCTTGTTCATTTTATCCACATCTCCCCAATACTTCTCGTACTTCATCTTCATCTTGGTTGCCATGATACTCAAGTCGACATCTTTATCAACTTCCGTCTCCCACTTGTTTATCAAATGATATAGGGAATGCACTTCCTGTAAGAACAAGTTAGAAGTGGTATACTTTGAGCCCGAGATCTTCAAGGTGAAGTCGTAGAACCGACCAAGAAACCCCATCATCCTCCTTGCATTCTCCCAATCATCCTTCGCCGGCACCCCAATTATGCCATGTCTATCCTTCTTGCTTTCCAAATCCTTTCGATAATGGTCATCATACATGTCAAACATCTTGAAAACCTTTTCAAACCTCTCAGCAGCCTGCAACATCAAGAATGTCGAGTTCCATCTAGTAGGAACATCAAGACACAATCCACGCTTGCCTTCTACCTTTTGAACAGTAGCAAACTCATGAAAATTTTTCAACCTTTCTGGTCAGTTTCTAATAAACCTCACTGCTTCCCTAATTCTCTTCACCGACAATGAAATATCTCCAAGCCCATCAGACACAACCAAATTTAATATGTGAGCTACACATCTCATGTGAAGGAATTCACTATCACATATACTAGTGCCTCTAACATTAAAAACTTCCTTCAATTTGGCCACAGCTGTATCATTAGAGCTAGCATTATCCACAGTAATTGTGAAGACCTTGTCAATTCCCCAATCATCCAAACAAGCAACAATGCCATCAGCAATATCTACACCTTTATGACCCTTAAGTTCCCCAAAATTGATGATCTTCTTTCTCAATTTCCAATCTTGATCAATGAAATGTGCAGTTAAGCACATAAAACTATCTTGCTTGTTTGAAGTCCATGCATTAGTAGTCAAACAAATTCTTCATTCACAAATTTGAAAAAACCTTTTCAACTTGTCTTTCATTTCACTATAGAAGGCAAAACAATCCCTAGTAATTGTTCTTCTAGAAGCAATATTGAACATAGGGCAGCATAGTGACATGAAGTACTTAAACCCCATCCCGTCAACGAACTTGAATGGTTTTTCATCAACAATGAGCATGTAAGCTAATCCTTTTCTAGTAGCTTCTTGATCAAACTTCCAGTTCGTTAAAGTACCAGCACCTTGTACCCCAGTTTTTCCTAAGTTCAATAGTTGTTGAGTAGTACCTTTTTCGTCACCACAACCTTTTCGCATATGAACATTCATCTCATTGGTTCCATTAAGAAATGGATCGGCCTCATACTCCTTCCCACACTTCATACACCTTGACATCTTGTATCCGTCTGGGGCATTGAACTTTGTGAATTGAGTCCAACACACAGCTCTTGACTTCATTTCCTTTCTTTTTGGTTTTAGATTTTTTTTGTAGTAGAGCCGGGACAGGCAGCAGCTCCCTCCACCTCCACGGGAGCATCACCGGCCGATGAATCCTTTTCCTACACATTACACAATCAACAATTGAACACAATCAACACCAATAATTAAAAATTAAATAGGGCAGCATCTAATCTAACTAGGTGATTCTGCACCGATTCCATGTTACACTAAACCAACACTCCAACATACAATTAGGTGATTGTGATTCTGCACCGAGATACATAAAATTAGGTCCAACAATCTAACTATAAAAAAATTTACACTAAACCTACCAAAACATGGACTTCCTCAACTGGAATTTGTTGACTGTCGATATTGGTGTTGGTGGCGCCACCAACATTCTTCTGTTTGCTCGGTTTCCGACTGGTGGAGGCAGTCATGTCGATTGGGTTTGGATTCTGGACTTCGGACTCGGAGCTGTTGGAGACTTGGAGTGTAAGAGACTCGGTGACTGGTGGCAATGGCAGGGAGGACTGTCGGGCAAACAGCGTCGGCGTCGTGTTGTCAGGGAAACGGCGCGCACCGCGGAGGAGTCGGAGGTCTGGACTGGAGGTCGGAGCCTCAGAGGAGAAGTCGAGCCCTGAGCTGCCGCCTGTCGAGGAGGAGTCGCCGCCTGCCGAGGAGGAGGAGTCGGTGAGTCGCCGCCTGTCGAGTGTCGAGGAGGACTGGAGGAGGAGGAGTCGCTGTTGCCACCTTCAGAGTTCAGCCTTCTTCCTTTCCTTCCCACTCCAAGTTCTGAGTTCCGACTTCCGAGCAGAGCTGTTGCTTCGAGTTCGCGATTCCGAGGGGCGAGGTCTGCGAGGAGGAGACGAGGAGTCAATCTCCTAGGGTTAGAGTCGACGTCTCGGGCAGGCCGGCATGCTGAGGTGTGAGGCCCAATTCAATAGTGGGATGGGCGTGGGCCGAGTATTGGGCTGGGGAGGTGCTGGGTAGTGGCTAATGGGTTGGGCTGGTTATTATTTCGGAATTCGGTCGGTTATTTCGGTAATTCGGTTCAGACGCGTCTGGTTTCCGAAATACACTACATTCATTTCCGAATTTTGAACCTAATTTTATGTATCTCGGTTTCGGTCGGTTTTTGTTCGGTTCGGTAAAACCGAACCTAATGCCCACCCCTACCATTAGGGCATTACGAAACCAAGTTTAATTAAAAACCTTCATATTCCACTTCGAAGATTCCATTTCAAAAATAGGAGAGTTTAACATGTCAAATCACTCATTTGACAAAATCTCAAACAACTATTAATCAATGTTATATAAAAGCAAGTAGCCCAAATTTTGTACTTTATGGAATAATCCCAAATCATTATCAATTAATGTTCCAATTACCTTATGTGCAGCATAGCTCTGGAGCTGTATTGTTTGCGTTGGTCTACCTTCAAACTTAGCCGCATCACGAACCAAAGTAATTAAGCAAAAATCTTCATATTCCAAGTAGAACGACTCAATTCAATTTGGCCAACGCTTTATACATATTGGTTACCCCCTGGACCTGTTGCACTTGCTGCCTTGAGATCTTCATGAACACAATACAATTGAGGAGAGGAGGCTATCAATGGAGTGGAGTGTGTTAATTAAGAGAATCATCATACGGCTGAATAAACGGGGTCTTCTTGATTTGCTATCCGAACAGTATGGGTAGCTCCAATCCGTTGGTTGCTCCATCTATGTATTCTAGTTAGAATATGTGGCATAAGTTGTAGAGATTAGGGTTCAGTGATAACTTTGGAACAAGAGGATAGTAGGTTCATGGGGGAGGTGACCCAGCGAGTAGAATGGGAACCTTTGGTGAGGCTGCGATGGGTGCATGATTAGTAGGGCAAATCACAGTTTGGGTCGTTTAAATCAAAAAAATGTTTTTACTTTCGTGCTCAACAAACTGGCCGCATTAATTCCTTCTAAATTTACCCCTCCGAAAATTCCTTTGGGTGCATCAAATTTGAAATGAGATCCTTCATTTCTCATTTGACCTTTATATTATGCGTAGATTGTGAGAGTGATGAGTGTACATGTAGACATGTCATTGTCCTACAAATTCATTAACACGCCAAAATATAGTGAAATGTCACCCTATTAAGTCAATCTCGTATAATGATCGTTGGATTCAATCATGCCAGATTAGGAAGATGTTTAAAATGCAGTGGTTAACCTGACTAAAATGTTAAAAGAATCAGTCCAATATAGTTTGCACAAAGATATGATTGCTTCGTAGTAATTCTGAAAACTAATACTAATTAAAGAAGTCGACATTGCTTCTACATATTTAATATTGCAATTCGATACGCAATATTCAAACTAGTGATATTTGGATTGTAATTTTACGGTTATCATATATTTATAAGATAGATAGAAATTTAAATTAAGTATCAAAATACAATTAAAATATGAAAATTTAAGTATCAAAACACCAAACAAGTACTTACGGGAGATTCGGTGGCCAGCTAATCGTTGAAAAAAGTTATGATTTTCTGAATTTAGGTTCGTATATGTTTTTAATTTAAAAAGATACAACAAATGTACTTAATATGATTGGTTATGATCCTTGCTTTTTTTTTAAAGTGGTCATGGTTTGAATCCCAGTATCTGTCTTTTTATGAATAAATAAAAAGAGTAATTGTGAAGACCAAAATGTCATTCCTACTTTCACTCTCGTTGCAGGAAATTTGAAATGGAGCAACTGTTTTCCCCTTCCTTCTATATACACTCATCACTCTCACAATCTACACATAATATAAAGGTCACCCTATTAACTCAATCTCACATAATGTTCGTTGGATTCAATCATGCCAGATTAGGAAGATGTTTAAAATGTAGTGGTTAACCCAGCTAAAACGTTAAAAGATATAATTGCTTCATAGTAGTTCTGAAAACTAATTCTAATTTAAGAAGTCGACATTGTTTCTACATATTTAATATTGCAATTCGATATGCAATATTCAAACCAGTGATATTTGGATTATAATTTTAGGGTTATCATATATTTATAAGATAGATAGAAATTTAAATTAAGTATCAAAATACAATTAAAATAATCAAAATATAAAAATTCGAGTATCAAAATCCAAATAAGTACTTACGGGAGATTCGGTGGCCAGCTAATCGTTGAAAAAAGTCATATGATTTTTGGATTTATGTTCGTATATGTTTTTAATTTAAATAGATACAACAAATGTACTTAGTGTGATTGGTTATGATTCTTGCTTTTCTTTAAAGTGGTCATGGTTAGAATCCTAGTATCTGTCTTTTTCATGAATAAATAAAAAAGAGTAATTTGATGACCAAAATGTTCTTCCTACTTTCACTCTCGTTGCAGAAAATTTGAAATGGAGCAACAATTTTCCCCTTCCTGTTATTATATATTGTGTAGATAAAAAATTTGCTTCAACGTTTCAGAACCTGCCGCCGCGATTTAAGCTGTTTGGCTTGTAACACCCCACCCTAAAATCATGGGTCAAACCGATGGTTCAACCGCGCAGCGGAAATCACACGAGGTTTATGTTTTCAAAATACCGACTCAACTTACATCCACATCATTCTCATATGTTTAAAATTCAACTCATCATAACAATTTACTAAAAATCATATTTTCAATTCATTAATCCATCTTCCTCAAATTCAGGATTCACATAACCCAAACTATCAATCTCGTCTACTCCGTTCATGCTCAACTCAAGTTAATGATCATACTTGACCATTGTAAACTATCATGCATGCTCAAAACCCAAATCGTAAAAATAAGGATTTCGGAGTACATCAATATGTGAAAAAAATACTTTTAAACCAAAATCCTCCATCGATCATTATGCAGTGCCAAAGTCATCCCCAATTTACCACACCTGTCACATCTAGAAAGAAAAATGGGTCAGCTACTAAGCTGAGTGTGTGAACCTGGCCTATACGGTAAAACTATTGTTAGCATGCCATCACATCTTGTTGATTAAAAACACATCATCAACAAATTATCATGCCACACAAAAATCTCATTAATCTCTATATTTATTTCTAGGTCATCAATCCAAATTCATCTTTAACCCAATTCTTCATGGTATGACTTTCATTAATCAAGTCGTAAATCGACATAAAATTGTAAACTTACCTCAACTCATGAATCCATCATATCATTCCGTCATTCAAAGTCAATTCATCATTTGAACATCAAACATATCAATCGTTCAATCCATAATCAAATCACCAATTTGGCATTAACCATATCAATCATTTATCCATAATCAAATCACCAATTTGGCATTCACCATATCAATCCTTCATCCATATCAAATCACCAATTTGGCATTAACCATATCAATCTTTCAATCAATCATCAATAGAATATGACTTCACGATTTCCTTTATGGAAATCAACTCCATCATATATATCATATGCAATGCATGAAATGCAGACTCTCCATTTGTTATTAACTTGCGCGCTAAGGTTACCATACGCCCACCCCGCTCGAGCTCATAATCTTAGTGGTTATATCAAAAACCACAATCTCATCCAATCTAGGATTATCATAAATCCTTTCATTAGGATCGCAGCCCAATCAATCTCATAGGGGTAGGCATAGGTCCTTCTATGTCTATGTGATTTAATATGATCAAACAATATCAATTTTTCTCTTCCATCATATCTCAATCGATCCAAGAAATCAACAGCGTCCCATTGATATTCCCAGTCCATGCATATCTCACATCATCTATGCATACTTTGATGCATTGCATGATCTCAATATAATCATCATCTCCTCAATGATATAAGTAATTCATTCTCTTCAATCAAAGTTGACAAATCTACCAAGTACTCACTTTATCAATACCTCATTCACTCATCGTAATCATTTAACACATCAAATACAAATCGATCATGATAATATCTCATCCACATCATCATTAATCAAAGCATTCATCATATCAACATTGTCACAAAATATCTCGGTAATATTTATATTTACCAATCACATTTATACCAATCGATATTCTAATCACGTCATACTCATACACGTCAATCATATCACTATCACTCAATATCCCTGTCATCATCATCATGCCATAGTCATACATATCAATAATCAATATATATTTTATTCGTCATCAAATCATTTTATCATATGAACCATATAATAACAATAAAAATACATCATATTATCCATATCGTCCATTAACTAATTTCATCAACATATCAAATAAACATATTACGATCAAAATCTTATTTTCATGAATTTATATTAATAACTTGAAACCATTCTAAAAAGGACCATACCCAATGTATAATTCTCATGATTATCAAAAGTTCATTTGAAAAGGTCTCCCTTAATAACACATCTCTAAATAATTCTTTCTTTAATTACAAACTAAATCATAGTTCGTCATGATTCATTAATAAGACTATTTTTAATATTTCAATTAAATACTCAATTAACCATTTCTCAAAATTAATCTTAAAACGTAAATCAAATTTCATCCAAGATAAAATTACTCATGGTAATCACTTTGATCTCACACTCTAGTTTAAATAATTTTCTCTTAATCACCACTATTCTGAAAATCATAATACGTTCTCTTTAACAACGAAACCACATAGAAACCGGTTTCATCCATCCAAAAATCCAACAAAGTTTATAAATTCTTTATTTTAATTATTCTAACCAGAATTCACTTCTCATATACTCATCCAATTTATTATTTCCCAATTTCACCCTTTTAACGTCATAATTTCAATTAATTCCTAAAAGTCAATTATTACAATATAATCATTGTCATGGTAATATATCATGACTAATGTCATCTCAAGATTCCTTAAATTTCCTTTCCTTATTATGATCTCAAATAGGCATTTTCAGAACATATTCAGAGTTCACCATATACATCAACAATTCCCATACGAGATTAATAATAATTATTATCATAAAAATCAGTTAACTTCATCAACAATTTCATCCAAGATCACAATCATTAATCAATCACAAATCCATCATAATCATTAATCATAAACTCAATCATGCGTATTTAGAAATAAACACGTAATTCTGGTTCCCTTTTACCGTAAGCCCACACACCTTATTTATGACGAAACTGATTCTTTCAGGGCTCTGTAAATTCCAAATATCACTTTTATAATATTCTCCTCATCCTCACGATCCTGTAGGCGAAGACGGTTCATCATTTGGACGTCAAACGAATGAACTATAAACGAAACACGAATTTCGTAACTACTCAAAACTCTAAGTGTTGGTTTCGTAATTTTCCAGTCAACATCTGATCATTGACCTCTTTCATAGGTAAATTACGGAAAGATACTCAAACATTTAGAATTCACTATAATGGTACCTGAACCGATCGATTTTCATCCCAAACTTCACAATCTCGTATCTTACTCGTCCGACGTCGAAAATGGGTTTCGTCGAAACGTACGCGCTCCTGGGATCTGCCTCTTCGCAACCATACCCATCTTTTGAAGTATGGTTAAAGTTCATTTTTCTGGTTTTCCCGGCCACCCTCCGACGAAACTCCGGCGAAGCTCCGACGAGACTTCTAACGACCTCCAAACATAATTCTGACTCCGGGGATCGATTTATGACTTCCTCCCGAGCACAACCCAGTTTCAGAATCCTTAATTTCACTCTCTTTCTATTCACTCTCTATTTTAGCCGTGTTTGGTATATGCGCCTCTCGCACTTCTATTCTCTCCATCGCTATGTATAAAAGAGACAAGCGCCTCATCCTTCGTTTTGTCGGCAGAGCCTTGGAGGTCTCTTTACCATTTAATGTGCTACAACTCATTGCTCAGTGTTTGTTGGCTACTACAACTCATGATGGAGCTCCCATGCCGATAGGCAATAATGAATCCAACTCAATGATCCCGTACAACTCACATAACACAAGGTAGCTCTCTATACTTTGATAAGATTGTATATATCTGTGTGCATAAATTGTCCATGGGAGGGTAAAGAGATGGTGGGGTGTAAACAATTTTATAATGAATAAATTGGATTGGCTATTTAATTCCATCATATCCTACCCAAAAACTTAATACTAAAGAAAGGATTCACTAGTTCGACACAGTCAATGGAGAGTTTTGTTCTGGACTTGCTCCTTCGAAATCTTCTCCTTGTATATACGATCGTGTGGGCGTAACCGGCTCGTCGTTTCGATTCCAAACGAAGAAGTTATGACCAAATTAGTGTTGGTACGGATGTTATTTCAATAACGAAGTGTAGGCTTAAAAATGACATATCTCACTCGTTTGGAATCCAAATTTAGTATCCTATGTGGTCATTGAAGGATTTACTAAATTATAGAGGGGAGATTTGTTATTAAATATTGAACTATAATTCCAGAATATTCGTAATTTCATAAACCATTTGGTGTGGTCGCAATTTCTTCGAGTATGGTTGAAATTATTGATTCCTCATCACACCGAATTGATTTATAAATTGCTCGAGGTTTGGGATGTTACAACTCTACCCCTCTTAATTGGATTTTGTCCCCGAAATCAAAGTGTTAGTCTATCTGGCGTACACATCCTTTGAATTCACTCCATCGTGAATAACGCTTAATTAGAGCACCGAGGAGGGTCAATCCTCTTATTTTTCTCATGTCTCTTATCACTTGGTTGTGGTG